CCCTAGAAAGGAGCAGGCTTTTGGATTTACTACATACTAGCAAGAACACTTTCACTCTTGAAAGTCCCTAAGTTAATTACTTAGACTCTGATCATAGCAATACTTGCACATGTTATTAATCTATACACACAAACAGTAACAAGCAGATTTGCAGACAAACCCAATATTAAAAAAATATTCTAAATGCTTTTATAGAGGAAAGAACAAAGGGATACAATTCACAGGCATATTATTATCTGAAATAGTAACAATAAAAGCATTGGTAAAAGTGGTTACACCTATTAAAGTTATCTTAAAATAATATTTTCATATTTAATATTTTTTCTTCTGTGGTGCCATTTGACATAATGGAATGCCTCTGACTCATCACTTAAAGAAATGCTAAAAGTAATTCCTGAAATATGTGTCATTTTTAAAGAGACTAAGAAACATATTTTCATTTGAGTCATTGTTTTTTAATTCCATAATCTCAGCAAAGCATTGTAGTATGTTCCTATACTGTATTTTCAAATGTAAATAGGATCCTTAGAAAGGGAAAGATTTTAATGAAGAAGAAAACTTATTTAGACTTTACTATATCTTCAATATAATTGTTCTCCTTTCCCGCTTCAGGTTTCTCTTTTTGGTACTGGCACTGCATTGGCAAAGCACTGAGCAGGATTTTTTCCTGATTATTGTTTTTAAAAAGTGAAAGTAAGAATTACATAAAACTGCTAACAAGGGGAGTAAAAAAAAAAAAAGAAAAAAAAGAAGAGGTTTCTGAATTATTAATGTAATTGCATTTTGTGTCTGGAGACAAATGCTAAAGAACTAAAAGAATATGTTTATTTAATTTTGAAATAAGCACAAAATAAAGGAAGAAAAAAATCTATAGAGTTATAAATAGATCATTTGAAACTTAAAAATAGAACACTTGAAACTATGGTTTGTTCCAGGGCTTTATCACAGCTACTCACCAGATGCTCAATTAAATACTGTCAAGCAAATATTTTTAATCAATATTTATTTTTAACAAAAGCCAACATGAAACAGGCAATTAATTCTGACCTCAGCAATTCAAGCAAAAACTGTGACTCTGCCAAAACAATGGTTACTCGGCATTTAATCTCATCATGCAGATGAGATTAAAAATATGGCCTAACTGATGAAGGACATTAAGACAAAAATGTTCTAATATAATGAATTCCTACAATATCAAGGTAGTTTCTTTTCTGTCTGAAAATACCTGCATTTTCCTATCTATCATGAGAAAAGCAATCTACATTTTAAAAACATCTGTCACTTTTCTGAGAAATCATTCAGTTACATTCATTATCTTATCTAAGCAAAGTAATTGAAAATCTTACCGTAGATGAACAAGGCTTGGCATTACTTATGACAGTCTCTCCTAAACTGAACAAAAAAACACTAAGACAAACCAGTGAAGTTACCCTACAGCAGTTCATCTTTTACTTGCAGAAATGCAAACGTTTTGACGGGTTTCAAATTTCTGTGGAAAGGCTTGTACGCTCTGAACTCCTGAGCTAACTATTTGGGAATGTCTAAAGCACAAAGAGCAGCCAAGACATCACTCCTTTAACGCCTGGATTTAATAAACCACATTTCACTTGCACAGTAGATTTTATATGCTACTGCTTGTATTCCGAGTGCAATTACTGCTTATCACCTTCACATGACACGTCATTGTAATAAAACTGTGACAGCTTTTCTTACACACTATTTTTGAGTATTGGTGTATATTTGGTTTTGAGTAGTCTGAGCTACTTGAAATGTTTTCATCTTTTTGCAAAGGTTTTTATCACTAAAACGAAGGCATTTATATTGGTGTCGTGGTAGTGCACTAGAACTGGCTTTGGAGGCAATTTTAGAGTATGTCCCAAAAGCAAATTCTAAATAGAAAACTAAAAAACATTCATTTAAAATAATACTTTGTGTTACACTGAAAATTGTTTACTGGGAGGACAACAGCAGTCTCTTGGCCTCACTGGTAGCCTCCTGAGGAACAGAAGTATTGGGAGTGGGACAATCTTTCAAATACAATGATTTTTACCCCTGAAAAACGTTAAAGTACAAGAGAATATCCTGAAAAAGATTAAATATAGTCGCACAGAATCTTAATTAAAGCTACGAGGCACTTGGTTTTCACACACTTCAAATCCACTATTTTTGTATCTTAAAATCTGGATGTGACATTTTAACCAAAAAGCAAATTATTTGTAAAGTTCATAGAAGTCCAACAGATTTTCAGCTCCTCATGCATATTAGAGAATCTAGTTTGTGATCTGGCTAAATTAATGAAACCTCAGCTTCTAATGTAGCGCCGGGAGACAGACTGTCTAGAGGGTCATCAGAACACACTCTTCAACATCCCCTCGCGCTGGGACGGCCAAATAATGTTCCATGTTTGTCTCGGTACTGTGGTTCATTGCCATCCCTCTCTGGAGCTGGAACACACTGGAAATAGCTTTTGCTATTTCAAGGAGATTTGAAAACAGTTGGGAGAGAGTGGTTAATACAGCTTTAAATCCAGATTTTAAACCATTTTTTTAAATCCAAAAAGGCTAATGGTGTCTAAGGACCTGTGCCTGACCTCTTCCTGAGAGGAGCACATTCAACTGCCTGTGAGATTTTTAACAACTTTGGTTCTTCACTATCTCTCAAAATAAAATTTGTAATTTGTTCTAAAGTATTGCATGGCGCATTATAGTTTTCCAAGATAAGAGTTACTAGAATTTAACTACTGCATCAGTTCCTGCTCTCTTAAAAAGATGCAGGTTATGATCCAGAGTAGAGTCTCAGGGAGGGTTGAAAAGATTTGCGTTGAAAAGATATGACATTAAGGGAGAATAAACAGTTTTATTCCTCTTCCAATGCACAGAAATAGGAAGAGGAGACAAATTTCAAGAAGCAATGGTTAAAATGGTCAGAACCTTGGCTGAAGTCCTTCTCCCATGCAGTCGCCTACACAGTTACACTGAAGCTTGGAGGAAAGTTAAAGGGCATTAGCAGATTAATCCTCCCTGGAACAAGGAGGAAAGAAACGTGTTTCTGTGGCAGCATAGCTATGCTGCAGACTTCAAATAAGATTTGTAATAAATTCAGGATCTATCTCACAAAGATTTAAAAGCTGGTCTTTACCCTTCACTGGAATATCAGTCACTAGCCCACAGTAAAATTTATGAAACTTCTTTCAAGCCAGGTGCCAGAGCGGGACCTTCCATTCCGTAAACACTGGAGATCAGGCTGTTTGCTGCCTGAGTAATTATACAGTTCTGAAATAAAACGGGCCTGGACTAGTCACCTTCTCATCCCAGTACAAAAGATTTGAGGTTACTCACCAGGAGGAATTATCTAATAACCCTAAAGGAGGGCTATGAAGAAGTAATAAAAAGGAAAAAGTGAAAAAGGGAAAGACAGTAAAATATATATAAATTTCAGAAGGTATCTTAGGTGAAGCTGCAGTAAGATCAAAATTTGCATCGTGAGTTCATCATGATCTTGAACCTTCCTAGGTGTGACACAGGCTCAAATTCCACAGTTGTTTCCCAGCTCTGCTTCAGTCCTGTTCAGGTGACTCAGTCCTCCCTATCGACAAAACCTTCTACTGCATTCTACATGAAACACCGCATTTTATCACACAAACTGGGATTTTAAAAGTGTACATGGGTTGAAAAGCACATGGTAGTAAAAAAACAACCAACCCTCTACCTGCAACACAGAAGAGTTCAGAAGAGGTGGTGACTTTGGGGGTGCTATTCTCAACCAGGGATGAAAGGCTCCCACTTTAGGGTCATCTTCTCAGCTGTGGTAACTGGGATGTTCCAAATATTAAGCACATTTGGCAACCTGTGTATCAGTGGTCTTGACTGTAAAATGGTAACACCTACTTCGCAAGCCGTGCTACAAATATGTGGGGGGTTCTGCAGAGAAAAGCATTTTACAAATGCCGAGCACTATTTTTACCCTCCAAGTCAAAGACACAGAACAGCTGCACGCTGAAAAAGAGAAGAATTGGTTTAAGCTCAAATACAACAGCCAAGAAACGTCTCGCCAGGAAATCACCAAGGCATTTAGCCTTCTGCTGACAACTCATCCCAGGCATGGCAGCATCCCAGGGCAACACACCCTGCTTTGCCTGGAAAAAGCCTTCAGTCTCAAGAACAAACTATTTTTCTTACTTTGTGTAACTTTATTTACTTTTTTGAATATACTTTTTTGGGTTTTTTTTAATATAATTTTATAGAATTTGATGAATTTTATGTATTTTTTTCACGTTGCGACTTCTGCACCCTGTGGTTAATAAAAAAAAGTTTATCCTGTTAGCTCCAAGTCTCTCCTCAAGAGATTTAAGACATCCACAGCGCATTCTGCAAACCCACAAGCAGGCTCAGGGAGGCGCTTTGTTTGCCCTGAAAAACTAGAGAAACGCGTTTGTTCGGATACCAGGGTTTTTTTTAATCTTTTAAAAATAAAAATAATTTTAAAAAATGCATCCCGCTATTTATGGAAGCGCACGAAGGCCGGAAGGCCCGCCGAGGGCCAAGCACCGTGCCCCGGCCCGGAGTCCGGCGGCGCTGCCCCTGAGGAGGCGGGCAGAGGCGGAAGGTGCCCGGCGGCGGAGCGAGGTGCCCAGGCCTGGCTTCCACCCTCGGCTGGAGACCTCCGGGCACCCTGGGGGACGGACAGGCCCCCGGAGGGAGCGCTCCCCGCCGGGCCTGACCCGCGCCTGTCCCTGCGCCTGGTTAGAACAGAAGGCGACGAAAGGCAACGAACGGCAACGGCAGCCCAACAGCCACCGCCGCCGCTCCCCTCAGCCGCGCCCGCGCCCTCCCGTCACCGTGCCCTCCCCTCAGCCGCGGCCCCGCCCCGTTGCGAAGGAAGCGGCGTCTCCCGTTGCTACGGTAGCGGCGGGGCGGCTGGACCGCGCTGAGGAACGGGCCGGCGCCCGGCACTGACCGCGGCGGGCTCCGTTACGGGGGCCGGCGGGCCCGGGACGCTGAATGGAGCCCAGCGGGAAAGGCGGCGGGGCGACACCGGGGCAAAACCTCCCCGGCCGCCTCCGGGACTGCGCGGGTGGGAGGCGGTGCCCCGCCGTGTATCCTTCCGCGTACCCCTCAGCCGGGGACGAGGGGCTGGGGCGGCCTGAGGAGGGGAATGGCCTCCCCGGGGAGAGGCGGGGGCGGCGGGGCTGTCCTGCGGCCTGCCAGGCGGCTGTGTGGGGCGGCGGGGGGCCCCTGTGGGGCGGCAGGGGATCCCTGTGGGGAGGTGAGGGGCAGCGGCAGGGGTGGCGTGGCCCTCTCCGGCCTCAGGGATCGCCTCAGGAGGGGCGTGGGGTGAGACCGGTGCGTTGGTTCTTTTAAAGTGATACCGAAAAGTTGACATCTCAGGCAGCTTTAGAGTCGCCGTCTTTGTTTTCCCTCGTAGAGGGAGGTAGTGCCGCGGGGAATTCCGTTTTCCGTCCGAACTTGGGGATCCTTACTGTTTTGAATTTTAAGTAATAATAAATCCTGACCCAAGTTCAAAGCTGCACCTGTACAGTGCGACTTAAACCATGGCTGAAGTGAGGCAAGACTGAGCTTGAACTGTGGAGGGCTTTTATCTTCTCTGTGGACAGCTTTTATCTGGCAATATTAACAAATTTAAGTGTAAACAACTAATGCCTTAGATTGGGGAGAGGCTGGTTTTACTATTTTGCTATTTTCCTTGTGATAAATGTCCCCATGTGTTACAGATTTAGGTAGTAACAGAAATACGTATTTTCAAATAAATGTGATAAAGGTGAGATTTTTCATTTGCTGCTATCATGAAAGAGGAGTGCAAAGCCTCTGTCAAAATCACTGTAAACAGTAAAATGCAATTACATTTTTGTTACTGGATAAAGTTAGGTATGACCATAATAGACATTTGTGGGACCAACTGTCAGTGTTTTGTGTCTCATGGATAAAGTTTGCCCTTTCCTAAAAAGGTGTGTAAAGCCAATCACACAGGCTTTTAATCTTTTAATGAGCTGTCTGATACGGTTTCCATTGTCCTTAACGCAATGCTAGGGACAGAGCTTTAACATGGCATTTTGATTGGGATTTAGAAGAAGAACGTCAGGCATTGAAAGAAGATCAAAAAATATGTCGGAGTAGGGCACAGAAATATTTGATAGAGACAAACAGAAGAAGAAGGTAAGTAACTAGAGTCCCTTTGGTGGGAGACTGTAAAAATATAAAAATAAAAAAGTGAATCAAAACTTTGAAACAGCTTAATATTTTCTACTGTTTGCATGTTCGCATTGTTAAATTGCCTTACTGCTTTCTTCTAGAGGAATCTAGGCTAAAAAGCTTCACCAATCGAGTTTCTTGCTACAGGACAAATAAAATATAAAAGGAACAATATTCTGAGTTACTCGCTACTTTTTGGAAGCTCACTGTAGTCACCTCATATAAAGTAAAGTAGCGCTTTCATTTCATGGATCTGCATTTCTAGAATTATTCTGGTTTTTATTAGCTTCAGTGGATGTGTGAAAAAATGCCTTCAGGTGTACAGTATGGGTCAGCAGTTGTCGCTGCTTTCTGAAGTGTGTACTTACCCATCTGCATGGCGTATCAGCTGCACGGCCTCTCCGATGGGGGGGGGGGCTTTATGCTCCCACTTCCCAATGAAAACAGCACAAAGTCTTCCTAGTACAGGATTATAATTATAATAAAGTTATTCTGCATTGACATTTTAAACAGAGCTTTGAATATTCTGCCTTTCTGCATACATGACAATGCAAAGTCATGAAATATTCTGTGGCAAATGGATTAAGTAAATGCATCGAGATGTTTCAGAGAGGTGCTGCAAGTAGTTTAATAGGCATAGGGTTGTTTTCCCTACCCTTGGGGTCCTACTCGCACGTACAGGAGTCTGGGCTGTGTGTACTCTAGAGGCAGGTGGGTTCCTCCCGGCGACAATTCAGAGCAAGCCCCAGCCTCAAACCATCTTCTTTGGCACTTGTTTACTTACTGAAGTACGTTGATAACTCATAAGAGAGGCGGTAGATATTGTTTATACTGCCGTTTTAGCTTGACAGTATGTGCTGTCAGCATATGTTTTGAAATATAAAGAAAAATGGAAGGGGAAGTATAATCACCTGGGAGTGATTAGAGACAGTGTGCGACCCACGACCTTTGCAAATAATAAACTGAGTCTCAGCTGAAAGATTAAATCTCTTATTTAGTTTTCTGGAACAGTACCGCTGTAACAGTACAGCTCTCAGATGAACACTGTTTATTGTATTTCTGGTCTTGAAATACTATACACCAATGTAAAAGCAAATACCAGACAGCCTGCATATCTTTGATAGACTGATATAGTTAAAATTTTACTCCTTGATACATAAATACATTTCCATATGAATTTCATTGCAGCCTTAAGAAATACAGTATCAATCCGAGTTACTCAGGTGAACCAGTTAAAAATCTAGGTATGGTATTCATAACATGAAATTATTTCCATTTGTGATAATTGGGAATGGCATAACTATAAGTACAATGAGCAGTTAAAATGGAAGTCTGGTGACAATTCTTCCCCTGATAACTGGAAAAGAATTAGTTGTCTAATCTGAGAAAGGTAGTAAGCGCATACAGTATTAATAAGCCGTGAAATATAATTCAAAATTAAGTGTCATTGCATGAATGGAGGAAAGTAATTTGGAAATAAAAAGTTCTTTGAAATTGAATATTTGTTCCTGACAGTTATGCAGGTAGGAAGCGATTTATCTTCTAATGGATCAGCCATCAAGTAGTGTCAAATCTGCGTATGAGACAAGATCCATTAGCTTTGTAACACCTGTAAAGGTGTTAGCTATGATGATGGTTTCTCAAGGGTAGCATGACTTCCCATTCTCACCTGGCAGCGCCCTAAGTTCTCCCTGACTGGGCTTACAGGCATGTATTAGAAGTTATTCTTTGCACGGCTTTTTATAATTTCAAAACTGAAGTTGTTTCTCTCGTTTTTTTATTTCAACATATGGAGAGTAGACAAGTATGGCAGTCTATTTTCTACTTCTAACCTTCACACAGAATGGTTGAGGTTGGAAGGGACCTCTCAAGGTCATCTGGTCCAACTCCCCTGCTACAGAAGAGCCATCTAGAGCTCATTGCCCAGGACGAGGTCCAGACAGTATCTCCAAGGATGGAGACTCCACAACCTCTCTGGGCAACTTCTGCCAGCACTCAGTCATTCTCACAGTAAAAAAAAAGTGTTTCCTGATGTTTGGAAGGAACTTCCTGTGTTTCAGTTTGTGCCCTTTGCCCCTGGTCCTGTCACTGGGCACCACTGAAAAGAGCCTGGCTCCGTCCTCTTTGCACTCTACCTTCAGTTATTTATATACATTAATAAGATCCCCCATGAGCTTCCTCTTTTCCAGGCTAAACAATCCCAGCTCTCCCAGCTTTTCTTCATAGGAGAGATACTCCAGTCCCTTTAGCTCTTTGTGGTCCTGGACTCTCTCCAGGATGTCCATGTCTCTCTTGTACTGAGGAGCACAGCACTGGACACACAACTCCAGGTGTGGCCTCACCAGTGCTGAACAGAAAGGAAAGGTCACCTCGCTCCACCTACTGACAATGCTTTGCCTCATGCAGCCCAGGACACAAATCCTCTTTTTTTGCTGCAAGGGCCCACTGCTGGCTCACGTTCAACTTGGTGTCCGCCAGGACCCTTAGGTCCTTTTCTGCAAGGCTTATTTACAGAGGTGTTGCCCCCAGCATATATTGGTCATGGGGCCGTTCATCCCCCAAATGCAGGACTTTGCACTTCTCCTTGTTGAACTTCATGACATTCCTGCCAGCCCATTTCTCCAACCTGTTGAGGTCCCTCTGCATGGCAGCAGGACCCTCTGATGTATCAGCCACTCCTGGTTTCGTGTCACCTGCAAATTTACTGAGGGTAGACTGCCCCATCATCCGTGATCATTAATGAAAATTTTAAATGGGACTGGGCCTAGTATTGACCCATGGGGTACACCACTAGTGGTTGGCTTCCAACCAGACTTCATGAAACTAATCACCAACCTCTGGGCCTGGCCGTTCAGCCAGTTTTCAGTCTACCTCATTGGATTGAGGTGGACTGCTCATCCAGACCACACATCAACAGCTTGTCTATGAGGATCTTACAGGAAACTGTCAATGGCCTTAGTGAAGTCCACATAGACAATATCCACTGCTCTCTCCTCATCTACCAGGCCAGTCATTTCTTTGAAGTTAGTCAAGCATGACCAAATTTAATGTCAACCTTAAATTTATAAAGCCCCTGCTGGCAAACAGATTTAGGGAAGATATATCAGACCTTCTGCTCTGATCTCAATCTTGTGTCATTTAGGTTCATCCTCTCTGTGTTGCACTGTGGAGGAAAACTGTTCTGAGGGATTTTTTGTGGTGGTTTTTTGGAGAACCACCACCAACCTATCTTTAAACAAGGTTACACCAAGGCTGAATCCAGGTCTGATAGCCCCTAGTGCCCATGCTAATGAGAACTGCAGATGCAGAGAGCTTGCAGATTGAGGTGTTCTGTTTTCAACCTTTTCTAAGTGTATTTGTAATGAAATTTTCCCTGACAGTGTTGTCAATACCTTTAAAATGCAGCAGCTTCAGCATTAAGAATACTCAACTTCTGACAAGATGTGCTCAGTTAATTGGTTTATTGGAAAAAGACAAAAACATTGCTTGCACAGAAAAGAGAAATGTGGCTTGGGAAGTAACTTTAGTCACATACCTTTTTCAAAGTTTATACGTAGAGGAACCCATATTCATATCTGATGCCATCAGTTTCTTTGCATCTCTTGTACAGACCAGGCTCCTTAGTTTTCTGTCAACAGCAGTGCTTCAACATGGTGAACAACCAGCCTACTGATTATTTTTACAGAAATTGCCCTAGTATCAAGAAAATAATTCTTTTATTGTCCCAGTAACACACAAAGTTGCAATTTCAAGGTCAGTTTAAGAATTAAATATGCTCTGGGGCAGTAGCTGACAGATATTTTGTTTAAATAACAGTATTCCAGAAATAAGAGCTACTGACAAAACAAACAGTTGATGTAAATGAATAGGATATCATATTTTGTGTTTATAAAATTACTGTAGTAATTTTTAAATACCAGCTGCTGATTTGCTGGGGACTGCAGCCGTCCCGCTGTTACTGCTGGAGGCAACATGTGTATCCCATTTTACTGCGATGTTACTGGCTGCGGGTAGTTGGTTCATTCTGGAAATGCAATTGTCTATGTGCATTTTTAAATAAATCTTACGGTCAGCTGTCTTGGTTCAGCATTTTGAATTACCTTGAAATCTGAATATCTAATCCAGTTGTAATTGGGGAAGGAAACACTTTCCCAGTTTATAGCAGTTTCCAATCTATTCTCATGACTCTTGTTTTTTTTCAAAATCTTTTTTTTTTTTTTTCATATATGTTGATATGCACAAGCATTATGCTCCACCTACTGGCTGATTATCATTGATTATTTAATAAAAGCTCGTTAAATTATTCATCAGTGTTGTTGATGAAGACCAAAAAGCAGTCTAATGCCAGAAATGGGAGAAAAATGTTAGCGCTTGGTAAACAGAGAGGGCAAAGTGTTAAGAATTTAGTATTGCTTTCTACATCAGAATGAAACTGTGGAAAGTAGTGGTCACTGTGCCCACCTAGGCTGGTAATCCAGTATTGCCATTTCTGGGAACGGGCCACAGGATTGTGCTGAATTTGCGAGGTCTCAGGACGGATACTTGCCAAGCTTGTGCTCTCTAAACTTGTCTTGACCTGCCCACAGCTTTGTTTGGCTTGCTTTAGCTGTAACAGCAGTTTCTTTAATTGACCAGGTGTCTGTGCCTAATTTATTTTGCCTTTGTTTATCTTTTTATGGTATGACCATAGTTTTATATAGACAGCAGTAACATGCAGTTATTCTATGTAAAATGAAATATTTCTGACTCTAATATAACAATGTAGTGTAGGAAATACAGGCCTGGTATGATTGCAGGGGGCTTGAGAGCTGGAGGTGCAAGATGTGGCATAGAGGAGTACAGGCAGGGGATGGTAAGAGGTGGCACACAGGCTTGGTGCTGGAGACCCCATGACCATAAACAACTCACCAATAATCAGTTAAAGAAATACAGACCTACATCTGAAAAAACTGGCCTTAGGGGTAACAAAGAGAACAAAGGAATAGCGTGTAATATACGTAAAAGGCACCATGGATGGGATATTTGGAGGTCTTGTGGAGCTGCAGACTGATGAAGAGCAAGCAAAGGTGCAAAGGTGTGTTGGCAAACATAAAAATGACTCCAAGTGGATCCTGAGGTGAGGAACAAGAAAGCATTAACATGACCATCATATTGCTCCTGGTGAAGGCACTCCAGATGCTGACAGCTCTCTGTAACACCCCAGAACCAGACAATGAAACAACCAGCCTTGGGACAAAGGAGAGCAATGGAAGCTCGCCCATCAGGAAAAGGGGTAGAAAATCTGTGTGTGAATAACAATTCAAACTCTATTATCAATATTATTGAGGCTTCCTCTGTATAGAATCATTCTAACTGTATTATTATTTGTTGGTAACAATTATATCTGTATTATTAGGGAATAGACTATTAAGATTTTAATTGTGCTAACAAAAAAAAAAAAAAGTTGGCTTTATATAAGATATGCTGACTTTTTGTCCATAAGTAACATTTGCAGTGTAACAACTGGTGGATAGTGTGGGCAGCCCTCCTGTGAACCTGTGAGGCATTTTGGAGTACAGTCCTCTGTAAGCCCTTACGGCTTGTAGGAGTTAGTCCTTCTGAAGCCCTTACAGCAATTTGGGGCTGTCCTTTTGTCTTCATCTTATGATAATCAGAGAAAATGAGGGAATGGAGTTAATATGCATCCCTCTGGTCCTGGTAAGTATCTTGCTTAAATGAAATAATTGATTTAAGGGCAACCTCTGCAGATACTTTTAAGCATATAAGGTGTGTTTCCTCTTTGGCCATGAAGGGGGTTTTGAGGGTGACACCACATTCTAGCCTTTTTTGTAGTCAGTGAGTATACAAGCACCCTCATACCTCAATTTTAAAATTATTTTGCACTGGTTCGCAAACATAGAATCATAGAATTGCCCAGGCCGGAAGGGACCTCCAAAGGTCATCTAGTCGGACCTCCCCACAGTCAGCAGGGACACCCCCAACTAGACCAGGTTGCCCAGGGCCTCGTCGAGCCTCACCTTGAATATCTCCAGGGATGGGGCCTCAACCACCTCCCTGGGCAACCTGTTCCAGTGCTCCACCATCCTCACAGTGAAGAACCCTCTCCTAATCTCCAGTCTAAATCTGTTCCCCTCCAGCTTGAAGCCATATGATATGACAATGGATGAATAATATCATATAATTATCAAAAGGTTCATTTCATGGCATTCCATATGCACTGTATATATTCCTGTTTTAATTTTCATCCAAAGTAGTAGTAAGCATTCAGTCCACCTGGGAATGTAGCATCCATCACTTCACCATGAAGTTAATTTAATAAAATTAGCCAGGAAATAGTTCCACCATCTGGTCATACTGTTTTTAACATAAAAATGCTTTCCCCGTAATGTCTGTATATGTGAAACTGCTAAATATTTTAAGTTTCATATTCCAAATTCACTATAAACATTTTGGCAGCCGTTTCAAAAATGGCTGTGCTGCTGGGTTGTTTATAGTAGACTGAAAAACTGGGTTAAAAAAACACCGGTCAGGAAATACTTGTGCTAACTCTCCATCTTCAAGCCTTACTCTTTTGCCAATGTTACATCTGTGATATGAACCTAAGCTGGTGGCTTAAGGAGAGTGGATGAACAAACATTTGCTTTAACTGTTTTTCTGTAGGATGTCAATGTGCATTTGCAAAATTATTTATTTTACATAATACACCTGGGTGTCACAATTTACATTCTGCGAGGTCAAGAAGTTAATGATGCAGGCTTCACTGCGTATCTTCAATGCATTTCCTTACATTTAAAATAGGATCCTTTCTCTCCCTTGTGTCTTAATCCAAACCAAATAGTGATCGTGATGAGCTGTGGTGAAAAAGGCCTCTTGCATCAGCATTTGGACTTGCCCATTTCCAGCTATATGGAACATGGAACAAAAGTCTTTTTTTTATGCCAATTATTAAGAATGTGGAAGAGTGCAGCTAACTCATACTCCAAAAATCATTTCAAAAATAAATAAATAAGGGCTCTGTCAGAATTTACTCTTTCCTTTTTGGAGTTGTACTCTGGAATTACTCCAGGTACAAAGTTGTAGAATTTCCCAGATGTCTGAATTTAACAACTACAGTTCAACTAAAGGCCTTCTTAAGCAGCTTCAAGAAATATTCAGGGTATCAAGAAGAATGTGTCTAAAGTACTTAGTAGGATAAGTAAGTCTGTTTCCTCTGTTGTGGTTTTCCTATTTCTTTAGTCAGGATAAAGGTGTAAAATACTGTGGATTTCTGTATCACATTTTAACATGAGTGAAAAACAGGAATACTGAAAGTTGACCATGAACTCTAGTTCTGCTTTTTTAGTTCTAACTTCTGGGTTGTATGAACAATTGAAGTTCCTGTGAAATTTTAACCAAATTGCAGTAAGACACTTTATGTGGCTAGAGTTTTCTGTGATTTTTTCTGGGTTTGGGTAAGTGCTTGTCTGGCTTCACCTCATGCCTTAAGTGAAGCCATTCCTGCTTGCTGAAAAACTGAGGTTTGCAAAGGAAACTTGCAGTGTTGGCATCATGTTTTAATTTAATTGTTTCTCTTTGCATAAGTCAAGCTTCTGTCTTATCCTTCATTTGAGGACTCGGGTTGTAGAGTTTTGTAATTTCATCTCTAGACGTAGTGTTACCTCGAATTGTAGAAATTCACCTGACTTTTTGACAGTGTAACTATTAAGTGTCATTTGCAATGAATATGTTCTTAAAATGTAAGCTACTGTCTGTGTACATTGCAGGATGTAGTCTCAACAGTTCTTTTGGTCCAAGACATTATCAGGAATACTGCTGCTGGGAGGTCTGGAGCTTTCTGAGGGGAACAAACTTCCAAAGTAGAAACAGCAATTGCTTACATTGTTCACTGGCATTTTAATTTCTGCCTTTGAAGAACATTAATCCGGAGTGCTGTATACATTAGCAAAAGCAGTGGATCCTTTTGTATATTTTGTCTCTTTTCATGTGCTCCACCACTGTCTGTCTTGAGTTTGACATTGGCAATATTGGAGGTGTAGTACTGCAGAAAGGGAAATCAGGTGTAACACAACTTCCAGTTTTCCCTTATAACATGGGGAGGGGTTATAATGTATGCTCATAATGATGGCAGGAATGCAAGTATCAAGTCTTTTTGCTTTAAGGTTTGAATAGATGCATGGGATCTGTTTACAGAACATTTCCACTTTAAATATATACATATTTATATATATACATATATATATATATATAGTCTTCGCTTTCTATTAATGAAATGCAATAGTTTGTCCATAAAACTGGGAAATCTCAGTAATTAGTTCAGTATGTTTAGACAACCATGCATATATGAATTTTCAAAATAGTGGAAGTTCTTTATGTCTGTCTGCTACGCTTTGGCTTCCAAGTGGATTAAAGTGGATATTCCTGTAAAAGTGTGTACTTGGGAATTAGTTGGCTGGTTTCCTATTCTTTACTATTGCGCAATTACAGCCTTTAGACTTTCTGAAATAAAAAGTACCTCTTTCAAATTATTTTTCTGTTTGGTTTTCACAGGTGATCAGTCAGCACTTTGAAGGGATACTAGGGAGGGGCAAGTTGAATAGTTTAGTTTGAACTTTTTCCCTGAGAAGAAAAGGGAAGAATAAATAAAATAGCTTGAGTTAAGGAGTAGCTTTTTTAAGGAGCAGCTTTGTTCCATTAAGCAAGAAGGTCTATGAATCAACTGTAGGTGATTAAAGTTAAGGGAAGGTATCTTATTGTGATGAGAGAAACAAAGAACATCTGGCTAATCATTACTACCTTTCTTTCCACTAATGCTGGCTTGGCAGTGGGACCCTACCTAGTGTACTAGTGACCTGCCACATCACATTTCCAACACAAAGAGAACTTTAAAGACAGGAATCTTCCAGTTGTAGTGAACCTTGCATGGCAGGCTTTGGAAGTTTTACTTGAAAAGTTATATATTTAAGTTTTGCCTACCTAGGCACTATGCCAATAACTTTATTGGTAAAGGATATATTTCACTCGAGGAAATAATTTGTCAGCAAAAGCTGACGATTTTGTCAGCAGGAATAAAAACTCCACATAACTTCGTCAAACTTGTGCCTACCAAGGGAAAGTTTTGTGATGGTGGTTGGTTTTGATTAAAGCCTCATTTGCTTTCCAGCCAATAGAAGGATGTGTTTAACGTATTTGATACTAACAACTGATTCTGTCAATCATAGCTTCATGTTACTGTTTAATCCCATTTTGTGCTACTAATCTGGTTGTCTTTCAGGAAGCTTCTCAACTGGAAGTTGATACTAACTCTTACATATTTATAGGTAAAAGGCTGTAGTTCCTTTGTGTTATTTCTGAATAACAACTTTTAAACTGATACTATTTCCCCAACAGCTTGTGAAATGGACATACTTAGAGCTTTTACAGTTCACTTTCCTATCGATCTGCCCACTGTGATACGTTTGTGTGGTAAAGACTGTGGTGAAAGTCACATTGGTGACAAGAACTGGTTGAGTCTGCATGTTAATTCATGTATAAGAAAGAATCAAATCTCTGGTTGATGCTGAAAATTAAAAAGATTATGGTGTGTCTTTTCTTCATCATTTGCTGTCCCATTTACATTCAGATAAACCATAAAAATCCATGTGCTGAATTTTATGGTATTTAGTTTGTGGACAAGAAAGCTTTTGTACTAAAATTGCAAATTGATAAGCAAGTAAGTTACTAATATTTCAGCAAATGTAATTAGAAAACATAGGGATCATCTACTTTTGCTTCTTAAATACAGAGCCTTTAAAGAAAGATGGAAGCAAGAAGAAGAAAAAGAACAAAGATTTAGAGAACAAGTTCTGCAGCAGAGGAAAATTAAACTTCAGGAAGCAACTGATAAGTTCCAGCGTGCTCGTCTGCCTTTTTCTCAGCACAAGCAAATAGGTTTGTAAATTAAAATTCAACCATTATTCACAATGCAACTGTTTTTCTATTAACAGAATATGACTGAGACAAATAGAACAATTAACTTCACTCAGATTAATTTAATTCATTAGCATAAGCAAAACATAAGTGACAAGAAGCTTAGATCTAATAGATATGAAAAAAGTGGATAGAGGGAATTAAAAAACATTTTATTTTTTTTGCTAAAAAAAAAGTTATTGTGAGGTGAGGTATTTCATTATGTTCCGGTCACAGTAAGTACATCACCTCCTTGGGATAGTGTGGCTTCCTGGGTTTTCCTCATTTTCAGTGAAGTTACTGCTTCCAATACTGTGATTTCACAGTATGGTTGCAAGGTGTTACAAGGCCAGTGGAAGTTACTAGGATAGTATAATGATCTCCTATTTGAACCCTTGAATATGAAATAGTCAAGAATGTGCATTTGTTTATCATTAGGTAAAAGTAGTCCTAGCATATATTTATGTATTACATAACTTCTGCTGAATTAGTCAGCTTTTTAAGCTGTTCTCTCACTGCTGGGAAGTAATGATCACTTCGACTCAGATCCTGCTTTCTTGGAATCAGTGCAGATTGGCAGGAGTTTTTAACAGCATCAGCCAAGTCTGATTTCCAGTCAACTTTCCAGTGTTGAAACTCTTAAGATATGGTATATTACTTAGGTATTCTTTAACAGATTTAGTCTCCCAACTGCAATTGTGCCAAGTGTGAGGTAATGTCTCTGACTTCAGGATCAAATGTCAGATTAAAATAACAAAATGGAACAGTACTGGTTGAGGGCTTCTTCATAGTTCTACTGGCAGCCCAGACTGTGCAGCAATAGAGTGAATCACATTTATTATTTTTTTTTTATTTTCCTTTATAGCAATTCTGCTTCTGCCACTTTTTATCCCTACTTTTGCTTACTTGAAAAAGGCAACAACTCATGCCTGTCTGGATTCTCTTTCTCCACTGATTCTATTAGTAAGTCACAATTTGACCTCTATAAAATATCTGCAAGCCATAACTTTGGCTTAGTGCATGAGTGGAATAATCATGATGTATAAACAAAGTTAGTGCTAGATTTTTCAACAGCCTACTTTTTCAACAGTGCAGTCTAAAAACAAATAGCAAAACTGTTGAATACGTGTGTTACTGTAAACACTTAAATAGACTGGGGTTTTGTTTCAGAGGAGCTAGAGATGCTGCAGCATGTCTAATGACGCTGAACCACTCAGTTCATTGTAACAGTCTGGATTTAGGCTTCGAAACATAAAAAACTTAACCGAACCATTTATGGTATAAGTATTCCAATTTTAAAAGTATTTTTTCCATTGTGTTTTTTACTTTGATCCCTCTAGTTCAGACAAAAGCAGCTTTTCAGTTAGAAGAAGCTCTTGAACAAATTAAAGGATCAGTTTTAACACCAGGACTGTGCTTGCCCAGCAGAAACAAAACCAACTTCAGGTATGCATTTCTGTTTACTCTGATGATCAAAGGAAGTACATTGCTAAGTGTATTCAATAAACAGCAGACAATTACTCTTTAAGAAATTATAGGTAGGCCATTTCTCTAGTAGCAAAGAAAGCGTTTCTGTGAACTGTTCCAATGGAACATTATGAAACATCCCTCAGTTGTTTGTGTCCTTTTGGTAAAACACCAGAGGAGATGACACAAACCTTTTCCCTTCAGCAGAATTCCGGGAATAGTCAGGGCCAACCCAGTCCGCATTCAGGTACGGCCTGACTCAGACTACCATAGTTATCAAACCGTCCGCTGTTCTGTGAGGTATAAAGTATTCTGTCTAGGTGATTTCTTATTCTCATCCAGAATTTTTCCTTTTGACATTCAGGGATAGTTTAATTTGTATATTCATCATTTTATATTCTTTCCAGCTGTCATTCCTTTACAATTTTTATCCTCTATATGTCTCTTTAGCATCCAGATAACGATTTAATTTTGTATGACATACAATTTGAATTGCATATTTTTCACTCTACCTAAGCGCTTTTCCTAAGATACTTTGACTTACCACAGAATACTGCTGTATTTGATACTCCTTCCTGATTTTCCCCTTCCTAATCTCCCATTTATTTAACATTTCAGTTCAGGGTTTTATTTTTGTTGTTGCTGCTTTTATTATTACTATTATTATAATTATTTTCTGCATGCTGTAAATTGTGCAGATGTTCAGAGTAGAGAGAAATTCTGTCTAAAAGGGGCCTCCCTACTTGTGAGCTTCAGTGTGTTCTTCATTGTGACATTAATATTCAGTTTGATTACATTTCAGCTGCTGATTAAAACATGTTTGCAGCCAATAAAGTGGGCAATTGAGAAAATATTCCATACCTCTCTGAGCTAAATACTCATCCTATCTGTTGGCCAACACACATATAGTTCTACAGCTGCTGTGCTGGCTTGACTTAATAAAGAAGGATTGCAGCCAGGAAAACAAACAAGCAATCTATCTGCTAAATATAAATTGAAATTACAGCAAAAAAATGTAGATGTTTGTGAATCCTGTCACAGGGTTCCTAATCGTTTGTCTCATTTCACTCATAGGCTCAATTAAGGACAGCAGCTCAGTGCCGCTTCTTGCTGCCTTTATCATTTGTTTCTTTATTATTTTTCATCTTTCTTCAAACTGATTCTCGTGCCTCAAGGGCTCACAGCTTTCTCTCAGACATCTTCAAACCACTTACCATTTCCTTTATTTCTTACAGTATAACATTGCTGTCACTCCATATTATATTTGTGTAATTTTGAAAATTCACTGTCCTGTAATAATGGTAGAGTGTTCTTTTCCTGATTTTCATTTTTATAACGTGATTTCCTAAGGAAATTAAATTTATACGTTCATATTCTTTTACAGTCTATGTTACCCTAGTAGCTAAATTTGAGAGAGAGCTAAGAATCGCAAAGGTAATTATATTTCAGCAAGTTTGAAACTGGCAATTGAGCAGGGAAGAAACTATTCAAACAAGTGACCCCAGCATGAAAAATGCTTAAAAGTTGAGTCCGCATTGACCTATTGGCAGGTCACAGGCCAGTTAGTATGGATAAGACAGCACAGAAGTATCTTGGAACCTGCCACAAAATGTGCTGCCTCTTCCCTATCTGGTAGGAGAAGGCTTGGGTAGGAACCCTAGGGGGTGGGTGAAGGAGGATGTAGAGAATATTTGGGGTATGGTAATAAGGGAAAAAGAATTAAGTTATGGCAGTACAGACTTGTGTATAGGGGCAAGGTAAACAAATTAATATGAAATAAAGCTTTGCTTATTCTAATGTTAACAATTTGTCTCTCTTCCTTGTGACAGAAAATAGGTATTTTTGTCTGCACCTCACACAACCCTTTACTCCCTTGAAACTGAGCAGGTGCTAAGCGGCATAGATTCTTCTGGTCTGCTGCAGAAGATGTCAGTGCGGGGTTGTTCCCGTTAGTTTTGGTCTGGGAGCCATAGTTCATGTGGGTCATAAAAATGGCATTTCTGTGTTTTCAGACTTGGTTCCAAAATTCTCTTATAGGGCAAATAAATTTCTTGCAAATCAGTACAGCAAAGTAAGCTTTGATACAGAAAAACATTTTGAGAAGGTTTGCAAAGCTGAAGGTTCTTCAAAACTCACCCATTCTGAGCTGTAAAGCTTTAAAAGTATCTTATAATCCCTTTAACTCAGATGAGGTAGTAGAACCCTTTCTATATTTCTGTCTCTTCTTACACTTCTACAAACAGTCAAACCAAAAATTTTGTACATCTTTAGAATTCACCCTCCATCAGAATTACAATGTATAGAGAATCCATTGACAGTCCCCTTTCAAAGAAAGAAATTAATGTTGTATTAAGTATGCAAGATAAATATGACTGCAGGCCCAGCAGGATATGGGTGGATTATATAAGGTTCTAGAATTCTTAATGTCTATGTTTAAAAAGTTGTAAAACATTTAAATTAAGTAATGGGGACATACTACCTCCCCTTGGAGAAAGGCAAAAAATCCTGGAACACATAATGAGTGAGAGATTGTATTATGTGCTTGCAGTAGAGCTACTCAGCTTTTAGTAAGGTTTAGTTATTAAATGCTGAAGCAAAGATTTTGGCCAACTCATTAGCTGACAGGGATTGGGGTGTGTGCTCATTAGGTATGTAAATGGTGTGCTGCTCTTTGTAGAAGTTGTATTTCCCTGTTTGTGTTTAAAAACAATTGTGTTTGATTAGGTTCAGTCTTGGGCTAGAAACTTAAATAGCGACAAATCAAAAATGTTATCTGAAAAAAGTTGGAATATAGAAACTTTTATAAATATAAATGCTCTATACATTCAAATAGATAGCAAGAAACTTCCTCCCGCCCTTACCCTCCCTTAAAAAAAAAGCAATAGATTTCTTGGAGGCCAGGTGTGTATCAGTCTGGTCCACAGTGACGAAGTCTTTAAAAATAGATAGATACAGAAAGTTTTTGAACAGGGAGGACATCTCCCATTCAAAAGAATAGAGAATGCAGTTTTCTGAGTTCTATAAATAAATAGCAGAAGTTGTTCTCCCTTTTTGCTATCAGCCATCTCATCAGAAATAATAAATTCCTTTTTAGACTCTGCCATATATATCTTTGCTTAGGTCACTGCAATTAAGCCAACCTTTTCTGAGTATTGTATAAAATCTTCTGAAAAAACCCAATAATCTTGATGGGGTGAAAGTTTACATTTTCCATTGTACTAAAATTGTGTTATAATAAATACAGAAAAGATCTCATTTGTCTAATTGGACACAGATGTACTAAAAAGAGAAGGGACTGATTTTAACAGGGAGTATAATTTTAGATACAGAAAGGGGGTGAAACAGATGAAGGCTCAGAAGAACTTAAGTGGAAGAAATGAAGAGAAATGAAGGAAGGGGGTTAGTGAGTTTCCATACATATGTTAGACATATTGTAGCCATCTCCAGAAAGGAACAATACACGTTTCCTAATAATCAATCTCTGTTGGTGTAGGTATTGTATGACTGCGCTGTTCAAATTTGCTTAATAGGGGTGCCAGCTGTTAAGCAAGATAGCTTTGTGTGGCATGAAATAGTCGTATCTTTTTATAAGTTCCTACACTGCATATTGCCCGTATATGAAAGGAACCATTACCATAACCTTCACCATCATAGAATCATAGACTGGTTTGGGTTGGAAGGGACCTTAGAGATCATCTAGTTCCCTAGATAAGCAGGGACACCTCCCACTAGAGCAGGTTGCCCAAAGCCCCATCCAGCCTGTCCTTGAACACCTCCAGGGATGGGGCATCCATGACCTCCCTGGGCAACCTGTTCCAGTGCCTCACCACCCTCACAGGAAAGAATTTCTTCCTAGTATCTAATCTAAATCTCCCCTCTTCCAGTTTAAAACCATTACCCCTTGTCCTATCACTACACTTCCTGACAAAGTCCCTCTCCAGCTCTCCTGTAGGCTCCCTTCAGATATTCACTGGGGCTGAGGATGGGTAAAATGTGGGTGGTGAATCATCTTGTCAGGCCAGATTCCAATTAAAAAAAAAAGAAAAAAAAAAGGAAATATCTGGAAGTATGATTTTCGTGTTTAGTTGCGTATAGACTCAAAGTTCACTTTTGCCACAAATTTAGCTAAACACCTTCACCCAATTCAGCAATGTTTAAGGGATCGCGTTGATTTTGCTGAGAAGCTATATTTGAGGAATGCATCCTGGGAATGTTGGAAAGCACCTGCATATTGAATGGACAATAAAGTTTGGTTTTTTACTCAAAATCCAGTGATTACCCAGAAAAAGTATCATTTCAAATATTGGACATGATCAACCTGGTAAAACAAAAGCTGGATCTCCCCTTTTTGCTAAGAGTATACTCATTTTACAAATAACTTCACTGAAAGTTTATGCTGATAATCTGTTTCCAAGATTCTCTTTTTACCACCATTTGTAATTATTGTGGAGTACAACAAATACTTGACCCTAAAACAGGAAGACAGAAGCTTAGTCTTCTAACCAGTTGTAAAGGTAGGCTCTACTGAACAGATGTGAGAACTCCAAGCATGGATCTGGTGAGAGATTTCTGTCAGTGCCACTTTGGATGCTCCACGCTAAGGACATTTAGGCCCTTGAACCAGGGGGGAGCCACAAGACAGGATCAGTGTCCTTTGCTAAACTGTTCCACCTGGGCATTCAGGCATAGCTGCAACCTGGTAACAGTTGTACTTCCAGAAGAGTGAAGCTTGATCTACTTATGAGCTGGTGGGTTTTGGTGTGTGGGTTATTTTTGCTTTTTTTTTAAGGCCTACTTTTCTTGTTGGCTGAAGCTACTAGTTTCTTGGTTTTGTCATCCTTGATATCTACCTAGTTCTTGCTTCTTCTTTTCCACAGCTTGCTTCCTGTTCCTAGTGATCCTACCCAGCCTTTTTCCAGTTCTATCTGCTTTTTATTCTGGAACATATCTTATTACACACTCCCTGCCTTCCTACTCTCTGTTTGCACATCTTCCTTGTCATTTGGCTTCACATGCTTCTTAGCTTCTTTGATTCCCATGTGTCAACCAGCCCCATGGTTCTTGCTAACTCTCATCCTGTAGAAATCTGTGGTTTCCTCTATCTTAATTTGGACTCACCCAGACCACAGTAGCCAGCTACACTAGTTACTCCAAAGTTTAGGGTTTTTTTCAGGTAGCAAATACCAATTATTTAATATACCACAGAAGTGACATTACACGTCAACAAGTACAGTTGGGCTGTACTTGCTATTTGAAGTAAGAGAATATATCTGACAGCATCAATATATTGTTGTCCTCTAATATAAGCCTGTCTTACCGAAAAATAAAGCCCATTTTGCTTGCACTCTGTTCCATGTTCCATTTCTGTAAATGACCAAACTGTTGGCTGACATTTTCCAGATTAATTCAGCCCAAGGCAGTCACCCAACAACCCAATCAGAAAAGTCTGACTATTTATAAATAATAGAAGAAAAGGTTTAAAATGGAAAGTGTTGCACAGTTTCAGATAGTACTAACAGCACCACCTGTAGTTTCATATAGTGTAGCTGTCCACTTTCCAGGCATTTACTGATGATGTATACTTTTGGAAAAGAACATGTTTAAAAGTGTACAGTTGACGCATAGAAATAAGGCAAAGTAATAAGTTATTTGCTTGCATCAAGAACCACAGATGACTCTTCATCCTCACCAGCATCTAGAAACGGTTCTTTCCATCAGAAGCAGATTTCAGCAATGGTTGGCTGGGATAAAACGGTACAAGAGAGCAGTAGAACAAACATGGATAGTAACCAACTTCTCTTCCAGAAAAATCTGAAAGAAATGCAACATATCCTTGAAAAACAGCATCTCAGCAACTTGGAGGTATGATATTTCCATGTGATTCATTACATGATGCTTCTTAAATGTAATAGAAATTTACTTGACTGTGATAAAAATGCTAAGTGTGTTAAGCACTCTTTACCAAGTAGAGAATACCTGAGGGCACAGTGTACTGTACCTTACCAATAGATTATTTATACTAAAATTATACCTGTTTTTCAGTAGGAAATCAGAGATCTTTAAAAATGTTTGTAAGAACATTTTCACAAATTCTTCAAAGATATCTGTCATGTTGTCTTTCTGTCTGTGAATGTAAGATTTGTATGTCAGACTTCTTGCCTCTGAAATAGATGCCCATTAGTTTATCAAAGGTGTCTTGTGCTAACTCCAAACTTAAATTGGCAGTTTGCAATTTACACTTAAGTTTCTACTTTACCTATTGCTACAGCTCAGCACAAAATGCTATAGCAGTACGATTATGGTAGGTCAAATGTTGGAGTGTTTTTCTGTTTCTTAGTTTTTTTCCCAATGTTTGGTGATTTCTTAGGGATTGACTTCAAGGCTCTTGAGATCTTTTTTGTCATCTTTGGAATAGATGCAGATTTTCCAGTAACAAGCCCATTAACTTTCTGCCCATTAACTCTCTGGCTAAACTAATTTTTGGACCCAAAATCAGTTTCAAAAGTCACCTTAGAAACACAGTGAAAATCAAGAAGAATTGAGCTCCAATGTGATTTCTTATAACTTCACTTTTAAATGTGATTTTAGGTCTGTCAGTGTTTTCTTTGGTTGTGGAGATATTGTCTTCAATATTACTTTTTTTGTTTGTTTGTTTGTTTTTTATAAAAAGAGGACATAATTTTGGATTCATTCCTTTATTTCTACAATATTATCTACTGGTATCTGGACTTGTGATGTCTGAAATAACCTTGACTCTATGAAGCACCGTCCCTTTATATTAGTGATGGCCAGAGGCATGGGACATTGGTGGCAACAGAGCAAGGGCTTTTCCTTTTAATACATGTATATGGATAGCTTTTGAAAGACTGTATACACTTCAGATATATTTTGAGTTCTTTGATATTGATGTTCTCAGCCACACTCATCTCTGTACCTACTTTTTTCTGATGGGTATTCATGAGAATCTTGAGTAAACAGACAATCTCACTCAATTGGAGGAAATTTCAAAAAGGTTTAGGAGACTGTGCAGTTTGTACTGGCAAGGTTGTTAAATAGTGTTCATTCTTATTTCCACACAAAAAGCACAAAAGCACAAAAAGAAGGAAGAGCAAATGGCAATTTATACAAGAGAGCTGATAAAACCGAATTCTAGATAACCACTTTCAAACAAAATCCATAAATGGCGAAGCTTTTGTTTGTTTCTTCTTTTTTTAAATAGCACATTGTGCATTTTATTGGTATAGTGTTTACAAATCCATCCCTAAATTATGATGATTAATTTGGCAGTAGATGCATTAGGACATCTTAGAATTAGGGAAGAAATGCAATTTCTTTGGTGAAAGTATATGAAAGATTCTTCTTAATATGTTGCAAGACAAGTATATTGTGTATTTTATCAAACACAATTATCACATTCTAATTGAATTCTAGGGGAAAACTGCAATGAGTCATGCACCATTTTTTACTTACATTTCTTTCTGAATGTTATTATCAGCTTTGGATATTGCATATAATATAGGAATTTGTGATTACAAATTAATGTATTTTTGAAAATGCTCTGGTCCTGTTGCTTTTTTTTTCCAGAATGTATTTTTCTGCTGCCACTAGGGGTTGCTCAGCTTCTTCCCTCTGATAAACAGTTTCAAATTGTAAATATTTATACTTCAAACATTTGGACTTTCTTTCTTGAAATCACTCTGGATTCTGATAAGAAAAATAGTCAAGAAAGATATTGTCATTGTTCTAAGGCCTGAGTTTTGGAAGTTTAATACTTGGATTGTGCTGGTGTGCATGTGCATTGTGACTTCCTGTGATATGAAATAGTACTTATGATACTCTTACTAATAAAATTTATAAATTATTATTATTTATAATACGGTTATTGACATGAATAGGCTTCAGTAGTCTTGATACTGTCTGTTGTCCAAAATCATTTCAACAGTACTTGCCTTTCTGAAACTCATGTCAAAGTATTTCACTGTGCACATGCTTTGCAGTCTAACCATCCATTGAGATCCTTTGACCTCTCTTTGTTTCTGTTTTTACAGGCCCAGCAGGATTATAAAGATTCCTAAAATTCTTTTCTTTCCTACAGGGTGATAAAGTTCTATGTTCTAAGACCCTTACCAGTGGATTTGGTGTGTTCCATACTTTCCATCCCTAAAAATTTGTACACTTTCAGCAGTAAGCCAGGGTTTTTAGTGAACTTTCTGCTGTTCTTCAAACTTATTTTGCTTAAAATACTGAGAGCAGTAGATTTTATTTTGTGCAACAGTTATGTCTGAGCCAGTAAATCAAATTATTATTTGTTACATGTCCATAAGTATGGTAGGCTTTGAAGAAATTCATACTGTTAACTTCATTCACAATCAAAGGTTTTGTTGCACAGTCCTTTTCTGGTTTTGTTGCAGATATAAATAAAATCTTTACAGTGGAGGTGGTAGCACAGTCTTTAACTAAAGCTGTATGCAGCTTTTCACCAAAAGACATGACTTCCAAGTATTTATCATTTTTCCAAATGTTGTTTATGTTGAAATTTTCCATTTCTGGCACCTGCCTTGAACTGAATAATTTATAAAATTTCTATTAAAATGGCTCAACTGTGACAAGGGAAAGTGTTATACAGATATCTTTTGTCTTTTTCTTTTCATCACCTCTTTAACTAGGTGCCCACACACAAAAAAATTAGTACAATGTTTTTATGTTCTTCCAGAAAACTACATTATGCTTGATTTAAACTGTTTGATTGACATAAGATTTTACCTCTACTATTTCACTTTTTAAACAAAATATTTGGAAGTAAGAGCTAATTCACAGACAAAATAGGTATAGATTACAGCACAGAGATTGTATTTTCCTCTTGCCTCCTTTATATGACAATAATTAAGTTATTCAAGTGGTGTTTGTGAAATACAAATTTAAATCCCGTTCTGATGAATTTGAAGCAGGAGTGAGTTGACCTGTGTGGCTGTTAGCTCTTCACATCACTGTGCTTTTGGGGTTGGGCTGTGACTGCGAAATGCAGATGTTTCAGGTAACTGATGGAAAAACTGAATTCATCTTCAAGTGCATTTGTAGTATGACTGGAATGAGTTAAACAAGGGTTCCTTCTGCAAGGTGTATTGTCTCGGTCTGACTCTTCAGAGGCACGGACAGGACCAGCATGGAAAAAGGGAGTGCCTCTGTGCACAGGGTCTCTCCCTGGTGTCAAGGACTTGTAAAATGCTCAGGGCTAGTTAGTGGGAAAACAGACTCTTAAGGGGAGGGTTAGGGTAAAATGGCATTGGAACTGGAGCCAGACTTGATTTTGAAGAGACCATTCAAAGACTTGAAATAGGTTTCTGTGGTCACCTTAAATATCAAAACATTGGACATTTTTCACTTGTAACTGTGAATGTTAATACATTTTATGTTGATCACTGTTTAGTGGCCAGCCCAGCCCAAACCACGACAATCACTTGAATTATATGACAAACTCTAGTGATTTCCTTACTCATTTTCCTTTTGGCAGGACCAGACAAGTTCAGTTTTTAATGGCTTTACATCAATATTGTACCATACCACTATCTTCCACGTTATTTCACTAATCCAAAATTCACATTTGCTATGAATGCAAATTGAAATGCATCTCCAGACTAAATTATTTTACCCAAATACTAGAACTTCTTTTGATTGTGTATTCCTCAAAAGTAGGGGGGGTTAAAGAGTAGCTTATTCAAAGCCTGTACTGTATAAAATGACATTACAGTCTTCATATCTGGCAATTTGGATGTTTAGCCATTTGAAGAGTGTCTTGCCTCAATTCATAGGCCTGAACAGGTAGGGGATAATGTAGGACTGAAGCTGGAACAGCATTTTCAGTACAAAAGAGTTTGTTTCACAAGTAGATTAGATTAATACATGAATAAGACTGTGCTTGTGGATGTTAGGATTCTTATACATACAGCATAGCTCACAAACCACAGAAACGGGGAAATTGAGAACTGTCATCTAATATATACCTGTTCCTCCTTTCATAGAATACACTTTGTTTCCTAAGAATAGCTATACATATTAGCATGACTCCATTTTTGGCTTTACATTCACATACATATATGTATCTGTGAAATATTTTTGTATAACTATGCACTAAATTATTTCTACCATACTTCATAGCTATTTTTGAAGTGATTTGTTTTACTGCAACAGAGTAAAATGTCCATGAATGTAGCTAAAGGAGAGGAACAGAGAAAAAAATGGCAGCATCTGATCTTTAGTTTACTGAAGTTATGGTAATAATAACATGTTTGCTTGAAGGAGGGGAGTAGAAGATACAAAATTCTGTGCATCCTGGTCTGCCAGGATGCTATATTGTATAGATGTATGTATATATATATAACTTGGTATTATCAGAGATAGTATATACTAATATCTCCAGGGGATGTTGGGAAATCTGTTGCTTTCTCATCACGATTAAAGTGTCACTGCCCAGACTAATTCTGCCCCATTGAAGAGCAGAGCTGTGTTTTGGCTTTTTGTTGGTTTGTTGTGGGGTTTTTTTGAGATAAACTTTCTGTGAACTGGAAAGCAATACAGAAATTAACTATTTTTTTCTTCCAGTGTTCTGCTTCTGTCCTAGTAGGTTCATGGTGGCCTGGGTACACAGAAACTTTAAAAGATTTCTTTTTTTTTTTTATATATTATTTATTCTAAACCCACAGCAGCACTTCTGTGATACTTAGTAGCTTGAGCTTTGCTGTGCAGTTTATGCCTAGCTCCATGAGGAAGTATGGCTCACCAGCTGGGAAATAAAGCATTAAACCAAAGACCCAAAATTCAGAGGACAGGAATAAGCAGAGAATAACTGGGACCCAGGATACTGGAAGATCTTGTAACAAACAACTGAAAGCATTATGCTGTTTCAAACAGCGGCAAGAAAAAGAAGTATCAGCCTTTAAATTCAGTAGGCTGTTTAGTATAACGTAGATGCTGAAATCTTGTACGTGTACTTATAAATCATGTCTGTAAAGTTCTTAAGAGGAATGTATGTCTTGAAAAATAACTGAAAGAATGGAATTTGTAAAACAGGTAACATTTAACAGCCACTAAATATTTTTTTCAAGACAAGTGATTATATTAATGAAGCATACAGTGAATGTTGGTAATTACATGAAACTGTTTTATTACATAAACGTATTTCTAGAGCGATATAAATGTATAATATTAGAAAACACTCTTAGATATATGGTGAACAGTCAGCACTCCTTTTGCAGAACATGTCAAACATACATACAGCAGCTCTTTAGTGTAATAGTGTTCTGACAGAGTCCTGTGGCAGAAAACTCACTTGTCAGGTTCTCTTAAAATTTTACTTGTTGCCATGTTGTTCTTTCATTTGCCTCTTGAAAGATTTCTTAGGCTCATGTTTTCTCTTTGTTTTAGTGCTTTACTGAAATCAAATTGCTTGACACAGCTGTTCTAAGTCTTAAGGCATACAAGTGACCTCTTTAACTCCTCATAAGTGTTCCCTTCCCTAGAATACCAAGTATGTGGACAGGCTGGGTTTAGGTTTCGTGCATTAGGACATAAGGTAATGCAGGCAGCAGGCAATACAATAAATTGTACTTCTATAACAGAAACAATATGCAAATCCAGAAAATAAAATGATAGTACACTCTATGAACATTTTTGTTTCCTTATCATCCTATAATATTCTCACAGATTAAATCAATTTAAATCATTGGCAATTCCAGGTTTATTTCCCTGTAGTTGGTAACCACTAAAAAAAATTGTTGAATGCTTTTTGAGGTCTGCAGAAGAAGTTCTGGTTATACATTTTTACAAGAAAATGTGACATTCATCTTCATCATGGAGTAGGCTAGAAAAGGAAATCAAATATGTAAATATTTTAATGAGAATGATAGGAACCTTTAATGTGTGAAATGATGAAATTGTGTGATGCAACAAAATAAATGTAAATGAACTAAATTTGCATGAACTAAGTGAATATGAGCTTAGATGATGAATCCTTCTTTATTCGTTAGTTCCTAACTTATTTCTGGAGGTTGCCTCAACTGAGATTTTGTATTCCCATGCGGTTTTGTTTAGCATGGAAACAAAAATTATATATAATGCTGGATCAAGTCTATTTTCAACTTCTGGAGCACAACTGGGTAGAATTTTTTTGATCTTAATTTTTGGAAGTTGCAACTTTTCCTGCATGTTCCAGATTTACCAGTTTAAACTAACCTGCTATCAGAACAGGTTTTTTAAAATCAATCCTTACAAATTTTTACCTGTTTAACTAAGTCATGTAGAAACACATGTTCAGCTATACAGGTTCAGTTTCCAAATTACACAAGAAGTAAGCCTGACACCTATAATTTTTTTTTTACTGCTTTTTTCCCATCTCAAAATTTCAAAGCTAGTTCTTAAATTTGGCCTGCTACAGAAACTCTGAGCATATGCTTTTTTCTTGTTTGGTGAAGTTCAAGCAGAGTTTAACAATATAATTTAGCCAAGCATAAAGGTTAATAAATAACTACCAAAGCATTATTTATTCTTTTCTATTAGAAAGACACTGGTTTGTACAGCTTTCATTTGAAAATGTTCTCTAAAAGGATCTTTTCCCTACATTTGGTTCTTTGTTCTTCTATGTAGTTTCTTTATCTCAGATCATAACTAGAATGGAAGACTGCACCAACCTCTGAACATCTAGTGCAAGATAAGATTTAATTCAATCATAAAAAGTCTTTCAGGACTCACAAAGCTTTTTATTCTGCAATTTAAAATATTTGTACAGCTATATACTATGCAATATTATGGTATAACAGTTTTAGTAGAATAAAAAAAAAAAAGGTTCACTACAAAAAAATCTTCTTATTCACTAATTAATTTTATGCATTCTTTGGTAAGTTTTCAAAATGTTAATTCTATTGCAATCGCCAGGGGATATATAATCAGTTACCTAGGTTAACAGATTTTGCTACTTGAAATATTTTCCATTTAAGGTCACTAATGAAAAAAAAATGTTCATTGCATAAGATTGCGTATCTGATGCAGCTTCTCTTTGATTTTCACCCAATTTTTTTCCAACACATGGTTTAAAATCACTTAGCTGCTCAGTTGTGTGGAAGTGAACTTAACAGCAGAGAGTATGGGATTGTCAAAATAGTTGATATGCTTGTTTTCCTTTATGTTTATGTGTATTTTGAAATCTTGTACTTAAAAATGTATGTATTTTTAACCATGTGGGGTATCTTAATGTTTGGATGGAGAAGAAATAGTGAAGAAAATACCTATGTAGTACATACATAAAGTTGTCCCAATGGCAATTCGGGTGGTGCCAGTCGCTCTTATTCATCGCTACGTTGAAGTTTGACAAAGAAGTTAGGGGAGTGGATGGGACTTCCATATGTCCTTAGACCTGATCTGTCCTCATAGATCAAACAATACTTTCTTCTTTCTGAAAGATGAGGAGAGGAGGTTTCACTGGGGAGAGGTGTTAATCACTGTGATTATGGTCACAGAGAGATGTTTTCTGTGTTTGCCATGACAAGGTTTAAATCCTCATCACTTTTGACACTTTGTATGAAAAAAAAACAAAACATATTCAGTCTAGTACTATGGAAAAATTCCAATTTGGGGCAGATCCACTATCAAATCTGCATTTTTATGGATTCTCTTTCATTTTGTAAACTCCATTACATGTTAGAGTACAAAAAACATCCTGTGCCATAGGGCAACCTGGAAACAGTAGTGTTGTTTAGACAGACCTTGTTCCTTTTTTGGTATTGTAGAATTTATATAAAACTGAAGATTCAGTTTGTTGCAGCTCTTTCTTCTGAATGTTGTGCCCAAACCACATCGCTTTATTTTGCAATTGAACACAGGTAAATTTTGACTTGATGGAAACACTCATGATGCTAAGACCCCAAGTCATAGAAACACCAGGGTCAATGTTGATTGTATTTTAGTCTACGCTTTCATTAATGAAAAATTAGTATCAACAAAAAAACATTTCTGATAAATGTAACGGTCTGGTTTTATGCCTGTATTTCAGAATTTTCATCAAGAAGTCAAGAAAAGAGATGATTCAGAAAGCTTGTCAAGCCCTGACAGTCTTGAGGCTGGAGAACAAAATGGAAATTACGCAACACCAATTGAATCATCTTTGACTACACACTGTGACTGTGTCCTGTACAATCCAGAAAAATCACAGACTAGGAATAATGGTTTGCTTTCTACAGCTCAAAGTGTGCATCTAAATAATTGTCTGAGAAATGTAGATTCACAAAACAGCCACAACTTACCTATTCATGATCTTTTAGCTAAACATAATGTTCTAACTCCTGCTGAACACGTTAACAGTTCAGAAGAGGAATCATCAGCTTCTCACAGCCCTGGAAAAAAAACTACAGGTTTCTCTACCTCTGGTAAGCAAGAATGCTCTGTAAATAATGCATTTAGTTTTCTGCAAAATATAAAAGAAGAGAGAAGCAAGCCATCTTCAGGAATGGTGAGCACATTAGCCACTGGTCATCCTGTTTTCAATCCTAGCAAAGCCTGGGCCAGCCCTGAGTCTGTTCCAGGTGAAAGAGTTCATGATCTGATGCAAGATCAGAGTTGTAAAATGACCCCACAAAAAAAAACTATATCTGTGAAAAACTCCAGTCAACCTCTTGCAACATCTATAATCTTATTTCCTAATCAGGGATGTTCCACTGACATTCCCAGCACAGCTGATACATTACCAAAGGACAAAAACACCAGTACAGAGTTTTTCAAAATGACTGAAAGAAAAGAAGAAAATATTAAATGTATTGATGTCACTAATCCGGGATCATCTTTATTTCAGGACATACCAAATGCCTCAGTTCTGTGTGAGGTTAAGAAACAGAATAACAGAGAGGAAGAAAAAGGAAATATGATAGAAACTATGTCAGTGGTGTCTGATACGGAGTTAAATTCTGGCACTCCTGCACAGCACAAAACCCTGAAAAACAATATTCTTGAAAGAAAAAGAGCAAAATTATTCACAAGTATCTTAAAGAAGGAATCTCAATATGAACCCAGTCAGTTCAAAGCTGTGGTTATGAACAATGGGATCAGTTTTGGAACTCGGCCTGTGTCTACTATCAGAGACAGTTTGGAACTGGCAAAAATAAAAAAGAAAACTGAAGAAAATGAAAAATGCAGCAGAAAGCTAAGATGGAATGATCAAATTAACCAGATAATAATAGAAAATTATGAAAAATGCTCTGAAAAAAACACCAGTGAAATATCTTCTGCACAGCTGCAATATGTTCAAACTACAAATAATGCTCCTAAGACTAATTTAAGTATTGTTGCTCAACCTTCAAACCCCACGTTCATGAAAAATCATCAGGAAAACTCTCATATATCAAAACCAAATGTTAATACTGAGGAATCAAATAAAGAATGTACGCCTCGGAATATATTCATGTCTGCTGGTTCCTTTTCTACTAAAAAAGCTTGGATGGTATCACAAGATGAAGAAAGTAAACCCTCAGTATGTAGCAATAACTCTAAAACTGATGACGTTAATCAACTCAAAAATAAGGCAAAAATAACTAGAAGACCAAGATCTGTTAGAGCCCAGCCAAGTTTCATGCCCAAGAAGAGAACAGGCACTATAATCCGACCACAGTCAGTTGCTGAAGCCAACAAAACTCTAAAAGTTCCAGGGAAATTGCTCGTACCTCACCCACCACCCGCACCTCTGCCGGGAAACCCCCACGGCGAAAACGCAGCAGGCCCTGGGTGTCAGCCACGGCTGCCTTCAAGGCTTCAAGCTGCCACTGCAAGGAGGAATGATTTAAACGAAAGGCATGTTTTGTTAGCGGGTCAGGTTTTAAATAGAAAGGGTACACAAAACAGCGAGAGCATGGCTTGTCGTTCGGGCCTGGCCGCTGCGATACCCACAGCTGGCTGCAGCACGGCCAAATACGAACCCTGGGCAAAAAGTAGGTGTTCTGTAAACAGTGCTCAGACAGGTGCCTGCCAAAATCCTTCAGTAACCTGCGCTGAGAGAAGACCTGCTAACGCAGAAAATGAATTACTTCTCCATCGTGTCCCAGCAGCTGGGAAAACAAGTACCTCCTGGCGAGCAGCTCATACTGCCCCAGCTCCAGAGGACTCTGCCACCGGTAAGAGTCATGTTTCTGGGCTTGGGGTGGGGGGATGTTCAGGCAAAAGTCTTTTTCAATTACATCACAAATTTGTTTTCAGTTAAAACATCCAGCCTTTCATCCATTCCCACAATACAGCCAGTTTTAACAAGTTTTCATCATTTGTCATTGTCGTTTCTATTCTAGTGCTGCCCAGAGGGCTCTGAAACGTCGATCCCCATTTTTAATAGGTCTCTACAATATTAAATTAAAAGGAAGTATTTTCCCTGAGATTATATTCCTGACTAATGAGCAGATGTGACAGGTGGTCTAAATAATTATATAGGAGGAAGTGACTAAGTTTATATGAGCAAGTTTTACAAGGTAACTGGGAGTCATAGATTGTTGTCCAACAGTCCGTGCCACCTGAGAGTGAAAGAAATGTAGATCTACCATGTTTTTTAAATGCTGGCACTGTAAATGCCTAAAATGATTATATTTTAGTCCAATTAATGCTCAAAAGCCTGAAATGTAAGTTAAAAATAAAGAGCTTCTACCAGACAAACTTTGAGGTGCTGCAAAGTACGTCTCATTTATAAAGAATTTTAAGACATTTTAGGATCAATCCTGCATTTTATTAAAAATTAACCCTGGGAACAATATGATGCAGAGATTGATTGGTAAGACAGAAGAAAGATGCATAAGAAATTTTGGGAGAATGAATTTTCATCTCCTGGTTTTTACATTTCAAAATACATTTCGTGATTTTTGATTTGCCTTGCTTCTCCCCTGCAGTTTTGCTGTATTCTGTGCCTTGGGCACTGATGGCATCCTTGTGCTTGTAATTTGTATATTGTATGCGGGTTGGCTTCCTGTTGAGGGTTGCAGCTGGAGACAGAGCTCCTGAAGCTGCAATATCCAAACCGATTCATGCACTGAGATCACCCCAAGGATCAGCCATGCATCTCAAAGATACTTTCTCGGAAAATAAGTAATTTCCATAATTTAAAAAAACCTAAATTTCTAGTTTTATCTGCAGTAATACATAGTTTTAACTGTGGAGTGATTCAGAACAGCTCTGTTTCATAAGAGCAGAGGTAGGTGAATATTCTTGGCCTAAAGCAGGGGTGGGAAATGAGAAATGTTATCTGCTTGTCCGTTCCAGTTCAAAGTCAAACAGATGAGCTTAAGATATGTGTGACTTAAGTTAACCTATTTGATTTTACATTGGAAATGACTGAAGACTTGCATTACCATGCCTCGCCTCCAGCAGAGATACTTGCCTCTTGATGTCCTTATTTGCACATCAGATCAATGAATCAGGAAATTTACTGGGTCAAAGTCGTGTGCGCTGCTAATACTGTCTTCACTGCAACTTTAAATGCTTCATCCCCAGTATCACAGAGCTCTTTTTGAGGAAACACCTGAGTAACTTCTTTTTAAAATTGCAGTGGGTGGCTCTCTCAGTATCAGCTTAGATTTTGTGTAAAGTCTTCTCTATTTTAAATACTCTAGATAACTCTCAATGACTTGCTATTAGTTGTTCTATTGCCTGCAAATTGCACATAGATCACCAAAGTCTTTGTCCTGAAGTGCTTGCTATGAGAGACTGAATACTGCATTGTCCTTGAGTAAAATATCTGCTGTGGCACTATTACAGAGTTCAGTGAGGTCTGTGAGAACACTGAAGAAAATGGGATCTATTGCAATGTACAGCTGTGGGCAAATGTCCAGAAAGAATAAGTGAGAACAAGATGAATAAATAAAATTGTTATCCATGAGGATCTTACTTTAATTGGGCTTCCAGGTTTCAGGAGGTATATCTTCTGGCTGACACGTATTATACTGTAGCTGGATATTAGAATTCTTTTAAGTCCTTTGGTGTCCAAACAGTAAAAGTCTATAAAAATATTTTTAACATTATGCCTGTGACAAATACATGACTAGTTCACATGCGTATAGTTAAACAGGGGTAGACTGCTCAGTATCTCATGCCCTTAAAGATACTATTTAATATTATATTTTTCTCTGACATTTTTCAAAGGAATTTCCTTTTCCTTGGCATAGATATAACATGTCTTACGAACAAATTAAGTGTTGATGCATATCAAAAGAGCAACTTTGGATGGTATGGTTGGCTTTCTGGGCTGTGAGCGCACGTTGTGACTTCATGTCCAGCTTTTCATCCATCAGTACACACAAGTGCTTCTCCTCAGGGCCACTCTCCATCCATTTATCCTCCAACCTGTATTGATACCATGACTTGCCCTGACCCAGGTGCAGGATCTTGCATTTGGCCTTGTTGAACCTCATGAGGTTCGCACAGGCCCACTTCTCGAGTTTGTCCAGGTTCCTCTGGATGGCATCGCATCCTTCAGGTGTGTCAACCCCACCACTCAGCATGATGTTGTCTGCAAACTTGCCAGGCTGCACTCATTCCCACTGTCTATGTCACTGATGAAGATATTGAACAGTACTAGTGACAGTACAGACCCCTGACAGAAACCACTTGTCACCGATCTCCATCTGGACTTCGAGCCGTTGACCACTACCCTCTGGATGTGACCATCCAACCAATTCCTCATCCACTGAACACTGCACTCATCAAATCTATACCTCTTCAATCTAGAGAGAAGGATGTTGTGGAGAACCATGTCAAAAGCCTTAGAGAAGTCCAGAGAGATGACATCTGTAGCTCTTCCCTTGTCCACTGGTGTAGTCACTCCATCATAGAAGGCCATGATGTTGGTCAGGCAGGACTTGCCTTTGGTGAAGCCATGCTGACTGTCTCATCACTGAGAAATATTGAAACAAAATACCGCTGGAATAACAACTAAAGAAATAAAATTCTGTTAAAATCACTAAAATACCTCTTGGTGTAATCATGAACTGTATGTTAAACTGCACAGATAAATATTTATTATGTAAACAAATAGGTAATTTATCTTCCCAAGTATAAATCGAGTAACTGCATTTACAAATCAAGTAACTGCATTTACAAATGAGAATATAATATCTCCTTGGATATGTGGATTCATGACTTGCACATGAAAATGCTGATTTATATCTCCAGTCTGTATTCATTAAAGTTTAATTAAGAACTTAATTTTAATATTAAAACTCGATGCTTTAAGTTTGAAAATGTACCATTACACCAGAGAAAACTGAGATAAGTTTGAGACACAGTGTCTAGGTTAGGCCTCTCTAGCCAAAGGAAAATACTATACAGCAGTACTGTCACTAAAATTAGTATACAGATGTATAAATTAGTGAGATTAACTACAAAATCCCAAGCTGTAGAACTAAAGTTTTAAGCCATGACTTTGCATTTGAATCACACCTGTGATGCCACACCTGGAGGACTGTGTTCAGTTCTGGGCTCCTCAGTGCAAGAGAGACATGGACAGACTGGAGAGAGTCCAGTGAAGGGCCACGAATATAATGAATATAATGAAAGGCTATGAATATAATTAATGGACTGAAGCATCTCTTCTGGAAGGAAAGGCTGAGAAAGTTGGGACCATTCAGCCTGGAGAAGAGAGGGCCATGGGGAATATTATCAATGCATATAAATACCTGAAGGGAGGGTGCAAAGAGGATGGAGTCAGGCTCTGTTCAGTGGTGCCCAGTGAAAGGACTAGAGGCGATGGGCACAAACTGAAACACAGGAGGCTCCCTCTGAACATCAGGAAACACTTTTTGACCATGAGGGAGATGGAGCACTGGCACAAGTTGCCCAGAGACCTTGTAGAGTCTCCATCCTTGCAGATACTCAAAAGTCATCTGGACATGGTCCTGGGCAGCCAGCCCTACGTGGCTATACTTGAGCAGGGGTGTAGGACTGGATGACCTTAAGACATCTCTTCCCACCTCGACCATGTTGTGATTCTGTGAATCAAATAAACTGTGTGAACTATTACATGTTTTCTGCACGGCGCTATGTAATCTTAACAATGTTAATCTATTAAGATAAAAGATACAGGAACTTAGCAACAGGTATTTACTGTGTTGGACAATTAGACTTTAGGGCTATTCTCTAAATGCAATTTATTTTCTAAAACATTACTTTTTGGCACATTACATGATATTTGTTATGTCATAGTTCATGGTTCATTCTCCCTTTTATTCGTTAAGACCACCTTATATCATTCTACAAACCATCTTTATTATGGTTATTATGGGGCTTCACTTTACCTGCTTATAAATGTCCACATACAATCCACATCTGTATCTTATAGTCCTATGCTAACACAAAATTACACATGCCTTAGAAGTGCCAGTTTGCCTGTTTATCTCTCTTCAGTACAAGGAAATATATTCAGCAAGATCAGATGTAAACATACACAAGGTAAACATGTAAATTTGGACAGAGACATTTACTCACCGTTATTAGTTTAACTACTATTATCTTTATCATGTTTTTACAAATTTTTGGTTTATTTTTGTATGCATGTCATTTAAGGTGTTGTTCTTGTTACAGGTCAAAAGCAGGCTTTTGACAACCATGAAAATAAACACAGAGCTTTTTCAGAACACAGAAGACAAAATGTAGCCTTTAAAAGATGGAAGCCTACTTATCATGCACAGGTAAATATGAAATACTATAAAAAATAAAAAGCTTATTTCTCTTCAAAATGAATAGTTTCGGGAATATCAAAGATTTGTTCAGTGTCACACAATTTTGAATCAATGTGCTTGGTCAGCTTGCTGTCACTCCTAATGAAAAGAATAAAACCAACTAGAATACATCACTGTATGAGTATACACTAATATTTTTGCACTTGAAAACATTTATTAATATGAAACAATAAGTAAAAATGTTCAGAAAGTAAGATAGTTACCTTAAATTGCACTTAAAATATTCTCATAATATTTTTGATAGAATTCATTACATAGTGTCCAGCTGAGTCCTGTTCAGTCTGCATTTGATCCAGTACAAAATATGAATAACACCTATAAGTCTGATGAAGGTACAGTAACACATCTCACTTCCCTTCTTTGTTAGACATAAAGTAGTGACCTAATATGCCCACTGTGTAACATCACTTGCATCTTTTGGCATTAGTGATTCTAAGTAGGGAAGGGTAGTTTATTGTCTTAACCTGTTCTTTTTTCATGGAAATGTAAGATACAGCATCATGTGTCGTGATGTTGATGGTTTTATAAATGCATGACAGCATCTACTCAAGTTTCATTCCATTCCTCTTTCTATTTAGCTGTATGATAGCTGCATGTATCATACATAACTGTATGATATGGTATTGCTAGCTATCATTATATATTTCCAAAGTCAGTAAATCTTGCTCTGATGCCAATTGTAAGATGCATTAGTGATTTAAATTGTCATTTTCCAACGTATCATGCTTTTTGACTTTGCCACTTTTTTGATCTTTTAATGTGAATTTTATGCATTTCACAAACCTATGGTAATGAAAGCAAGCAGCATATTTAAATGCTGTGAACTCTTCAGTTTCAGAAAGCACGGCTCAGTTTCTTATGGCAGAAAAACTAGCAGGTACATCAGCTGCAGAAGGTGACATCCTGGCAGCTATGGAAAGTGTGCACCCAGCCAGGCAGCCCCCCCTGCTCAACAGGGCTCCATCTCTAGGCATGACTGCGCTTTCTGTAGAAGAACAGAAGATTTTCCAGTCTCTTGATCGTCTCAATCAAAGGCTACAAGGTAAGTTTGATAAGAAATAGGATCCTGCATCAAGTGATTAAGTAACTTTATATTTTGTTGTCATGGATTAATTTGGATTAAAAACATGAATCCTGTGATAGAAATTGGTTTCTTCTTATTTTCTTATTATTCTTTTCTAAATGTAGCAACCAGGAAATCAAAATAATGAAATCTTTCTTAGAGTCAATGAAATTAATTTAAAATAATGGTGACTTTGCCTTGGTCAAAAAAATATTTCAAAATATAAGTGCAGGACACCTTCAGAAACTGTCTCAGCCCAACTGTAGATGTTTCTAACAGATGTTTGTCAAAACTGTTCTTTGAAGTGTACAGATACAGATGTATCAGCCTCTTAGCAACCTGTTCTAGTGTTTATCCACCTTACATTTTTTTGCAATTATTTTTGCAAATAGTTACCCTTTATATTATACACTCTATATTTTAGCAAATATACCCTTTTGTAATGAATGGCTTTTCATTTGCTTTCTTCTAGTCTTTTAGGATGTTCCTCTTCTCCATGTCACAAAGGCAGTTCTGAGATTGCTGCAGCCAACTCTGAATGTTTATGTGAATATCACTTGCACAACTATTTTAAAAATCTCAAATGTACTTGAGCATTCCCTGAGCTCTTCTCTCTGTATGCCAGGCTGGTTTCTTACCTGCTTTATACTGTTGCTTTTTATATAAGCTATTGCATTGCAGCTGACATTTTATTGACGAATGTGGGGAGAAAAAAAGTTCTTTTTTTTTTTATTCCAGACTAACTAAACAACGCTTTCATTCGTTATTCTATTATAACTAACATACTTGTAGAACAGACTTAGTTTTGGGGTCTCTTACTGCTGTATCCAATGGTTACTGTTTGCTTTGACCTACATGATCATACAGGTCTTTCATAAAAATTCTCATTAGTTTGCCACAGTTTCTGCAGTTTGTGTGCTCCATCCTGTATTTGAAATCAATGGGGACCTTGTGGTCTTTTCACTGGACTGCTTGGCTTTCTGTATCATTGGAATAACTTCTGGCTGCCATTTTTGCTGTTTATGGAACCGCCAGCTCTCCTGAATTTTGTATTTTCCTTGGACTTTTTTCATATAAAATTTTACATGCCAATTATTTGAGTTTATAAGAGTCTGCTTTCTTGAAGTCCATTGATTTTATTTTACTATTCTACTTCTTTTCCTTGTGGACTGCACCATTTCATGGTCAGATTACCCACATTTACCTCCCTATTGACTGGAATCAAACTAAACCAGAGCTTATTAAAGTCCTGTATGCTATCCATGCATTTCTACATCAACTGGTGGATTGCTTGACTTTGAGGAAAAAGGCTTCAGTTTCCTGTAAACTGCAACAGCAGAATAAAGGATCTTTGCAACCGCTTAGGACCTTTCTGTAGCTGTAGCTTACAGTTCCTGCTCCCAACAAACAGTGATTCAGAATTTCAGTTTACTGCACCTCATGGTTATTGCTTCCAGGCAAACAGAAGTGAAGAATTCCGTCTTTTGTCAGAGAGGAGATTTAGTACCATGTGCTTGGGTTAAGAAAGTAGATATGAAAAGAGAAGTACAAGAAAACAGAACATAAATTGCTGTATAAATAACAGTGAAATAACAAAGAAACTGAGACAAAGGTAAATGCAACAAAAGAACTGGGAGCAAGAAAGCAGGAGTTTGCCAAGTGTGAAAAGGAAAACTATGAGAACTGTAAGAAAAGTACATAAGAAATATGAGAGAAACAATGAAAGAATCATAGGAGTTAACTGATTGCAAATGAAGTAACTGTGAAAATTAATGTAAAACACACACACATATATATATACATGTATCCCAGAAATGTAATTAGCTCACCTAATTATATGGAGATTAAAATTGGTAATAAGGAACTGTGAAATTTTACAGATAGACTTATAGGACATGTAAGTACATGCAAGTAGGTACCTGTAAGTGAATGAGTTTTTTTAAACCGTGACCTTTTTGAACCCCTTTTTTTGGCTTTGTTTTCACATGTTACCAAATCAAGTGACTAAAACCATGTACCTCATAGCAGTCTTTTTAATGAATAACAGTTAGTCACTGACCAATCTAAGCCTGGAAGTTTTTTTGCCAGCTTTGGGTAGCTGGCATTCTTTTCTCTAGCTTTAGATTTCTTTATTGAGACAATTTTTTTTGTTCAGATAATGATATCTAGCTGCAAATTTTAAAACTACAGATACAATATATACTTCAGCAGCTATTGATGGGGAAAAAAAAGAACAATACTATTAAACTATATTTCCACAATCTTTTGGAAGTTTTGTGTTGAATATTTGACTGTGAATCATGTTTCTATTGCAGTATTTGTTTTACATAATATTTATGATATACTTTTATGCTATTTTTAGATGTTCAAGAAGCCATTACCAGAAACCCGTCTGCTTCAAATGTTTTACAGATAATCACCCCTTTAGTAAGTATTTAATTTAAATATGGTCAGCTTTGGTTCCTACAAACTGACCTTATGGCTTATTTTATAGTAAATATACAATTGAAAATATTGACATAAATCTGTTCACTGGCTTGCCAGATTTTCAGATTTCTATTTATGTAAAAAAAAATACACATATGAACTTAATAGTACTGTAATCAGGCTTTAACAGTTTATACCAGACTGCCTCATCCTCTGGCTTCATTTTCCTTTTGGAATCTGAAGATACTTGCAAAGTTCAGGAAGTTCCAAGAATTTTTAAGGAGTAGTAATTTAGCAGGGTCAATTTGAACTATTTATAGCTCATAATTAATTGCATTTCTCAATAAAGTAGAGGTGAAGGGGGTCAATGATGCATGGTACTGCATAAAATAATTGTTAATACAATGAATTCCTACTCTGACCTGCAGATATGCCATGTTCTATAAGTGAGAGGTATTACCTTTCTTCAGGAAGTGTTTGTATTTTGTTTCATATATTGTAGATCTTGTCAGTTTGAAACAAAATAAACATGATGGTACTTGGAATATAAAGAAATGAATAGGCAGATGAGTGTCTTAAGTACAAAATTTACATTTCAAATGTTCATTTTATAATGGAGGAGCAACTATTTATAATTCTTTATTATCAGTCTCCTCCTTAACTATATATTTGTACTGAGGAAATTATACAGACAGATGACGGTATACTTCACATACTTTATGCACTTTCAGATGCTTCATATACTTTCCTGGATAAACTGTTACCAAAAATGTTAGAGAAAATACTCTTTATTCAGAAGACTTTTGCCACTTACTGAGTTTGAGACTGAAAAACCCCAGAAAGTATCCAGGCTCCTAACTTCAAAATGATTGCCTGGTTTTGAAATCAGACTAGTAGTAGGTGTGACTTGGAACTTCATTTTCCTCTCTTCTGCCTCCTGTCTTACAAATTTAATTCTTTATGGCTAAACAACTTCTAAATTTTGGTTATTTTCCAGCAATTTTGTACCATAGGTAACCTTTATTGGATCTAATTGTGTTTTAATAAAGCATTTTTGAGCTTGTATGTTCTCTGGGGCATTCTTCATAGCCTGGACTACTTAGAATCATAGAATCATGGAATCATTTGGGTTGGAAGGGACCTTTAAGATCGTCAAGTCCAACTGTTAACCTAATACTGCCAAGTTACCACTAAACTACATCCCTTAGCACTACATATACCCATCTTTTAAATACCTCCAGGGATGGCAACTCAACCACTTCCCTGGGCAGCCTGTTCAAATGCTTAATAACCTTTTTGGTGAATGAATTTTCCCTAATATCCAATCTAAACCTCTCCTGGTGCAACTTGAGGCTGTTTCCTCTTGTCCTATTCCCTGTTTCTTGGGAGACCAACCTCCACCTCTCTACACCCTCTTTTCAGGTAGTTGTAGAGAGCGATAAGGTCTCCCGTCAGCCTCCTTTTCTCCAGGCTGAACAACCCCAGCTCCCTCAGCCTCTCCTCATAAGACTTATTCTCCAGACCCCTCACCACCTTCATTGCCGTTCTCTGGACATGGTCCAGGACCTCAATGTCTTTATTGTAGTGAGAGGCCCAAAACTGATCACAGTGATCAAGGTGGGGCCTCAGCAGTGGTGAGTAGAGAGGTACAATCACTTCCCTACTCCTACTGGCCACACTATTCCTGATACAGGCCAGGATGCTGTTGGCCTTCTTGGCCACCTGGGCACACTGCTGGCTCATGTTCAGCCGACAGTCGACCAACACCCCCAGGTCCTTTTCTGCCAGGCAGCTCTCCAGCCACTCTGCCCCCAGCCTGTAGCGCTGCCTGGGGTTGTTGTGACCCAAGGGCAGGACCCGGCACTTGGCCTTGTTAAACCTCATCCCGTTGGTCTCGGCCCATCGATCCAGCCTGTCGAGATCTCTCTGCAGAGCCTCTCTACCCTCCAGCAGATCAACACTGCCACCCAGCTTGGTGTCGTCTGCGAACTTACTGAGGGTGCACTCGATCCCCTCGTCCAGATCATTGATAAAGATATTAAAGAGAATGGGTCCCAGTACTGAGCCCCGTGGGACACCACTTGTGACCGGCCTCCAACTAGATTTAACTCCATTCACCACCATTCTCTGGACCTGGCCCTCCAGCCAGGTTTTAACCCAGTGAAGAGTACTCCCATCCAAGGCATCGGCAGTTGGGCATTGCATCCAACATGGGCAAGTTTCTCCCGGAAAATACTGTTGGAAATGGTGTCAAAAGCTTAACTAAAGTCTAAGTAGACAACATCCACAGCCTTTCCCTTGTCCACTAAGCAGGTCACTTCGTCATAGAAGGAGATCCAGTTAGTCAAGAAGGACCTGCCTTTCCTGAACCCGTGCTGACTGAGCCTGATCACCTGGTTGTTCTTCATGTGCCACATAATGGCACTCAAGATAATCTGCTCCATAACCTTCCCCAGCACCAAGGTCAGACTGACTGGCCCTGTAATTCCCCAGATCCTCCTTCTGGCCCTTCTTGTGGATGGGCGTCACATTTGCTAACCTCCAGTCAGCTGGGACCTCCCCAGTTTGCCAGGACTGCTGGTAAATGATGGAAAGTGGTGAGCACTTCCACCAGCTCACTCAGTACCCTCGGGTGGATCCCTTCTAGTCCCTCAGACTCATGTGTGTCTAAGTGGTGTAGTAGCCCGGTAACCATTTTCCCTTGGATTATGGGGGGTTCACTCTGCTCCCTGTCCCTGTCTTCCAGCTCAGGGGGCTGGGTTACCCTGAGACCACCTGGTCTTTCTATTAAAGAGTGAGGCAAAGAAGGCATTCATCCTTGATCACTATGTTTCCCACCACATCTAATACAAGATGGAGTCCTTAGTCCTCCTTTTGTTATTAATGTATTTATAGAAACTTTTTTTTATTGTCTTTTATGGCAGTAGTCAGATTAAGTTGTAGCTGAGCTTTGGCCATTCTAATTTTCTCCCTGCATAGCTTCTCAAAATCTTTGTAGTCTTCCTGAATGGCCTGCCCTTTCTTCTATAGCCATAAACTTTCTTTTTCTTCCTGAATTCCAGCCAAAGCCCAAAGCTCTCGGTTTAGCCAGGCTGGTCTTCTTCCCAGCCAGCTCATCGTATGGCACATGGGGACAGTCTGCTCCTGAGCCTTCCAGATTTCGTTCTTGTAGAGTGTCCAGCCTTCCTGGACTCCTTTGACGTTCAAGACTGCCTCCCAAACAGGTCAAAGTCTGCCCTCCAGAAGTCCAAGGTGGCAGTTCTACTGGCCCCCTCCTCTCTTCTCCAAGAAGCATGGATATTTACTCAGTGTGAATGACATTGTACCCTGCAATACCACCCTCTAAATCCAGATGAAGGTGCACAATTGTTTATATAATGGAAAACAAATCACACTGATATCCTCAAATGATGTTTCTTGAATGTCATATTATACATAATCCCATTATATACCTGTATATCTCAGTATCCTCCCTTTTATTACAGAGTATTCAGCCATGTATGTCCTCCCCTTGGGTGAACACCTCACAGCAGCACCCGAGTGCCTCAGGAGGCCATCGATGGCAAAGGCACAGGCGACACTGACAGTACCTGCTCCAGGATATTGCAGTTTCATGTACACGTACAATCCGACACTATGAAATTACCAACAAAATAAAGACGAAAGCAGTAGCTCAAATAATGAATGTCAATTGACTGGTAAGCATTTTTAGGATAATTAAGTCTATTTTATTATGCACTGTGTTGTAAAATTAAAAGAATGAAAATACTTGGCATTTTTAGTGTTTGCATTGGTTGTGTAAACTTCCTGTACCCATAATTAAAGTGAAAGGAAAACAAATATTTTGTTATTTAGATTATGTATGCACTACTTTCCTAACTTCTCCAGTTTTTTAGGATTTGCTAATAGATTCTTTTACAATTGTAAAAGATATATATTTCAAAAGTGATTTGATTATCAGTACATGGAGCTTCACCTTTTATCTTTGTATTGGTGGCTGTATTGCAAATTGTTAATTGCTAAGGAGCAGTAACTTTTTAAATTCCTCTCTTTTCCTCTTCCTCTGCTGTTCCTGTACAAAGTAGATAAACATTGAAACAAGCTGTAGAAGGTATATGAAATGCACAGAATTGGTCAGCAAATCTAAGGTGATAATTAGCTGCAAAAAGCAATAAAAGCAATTTACCAAATCTCTGGATTCTTAAGTCCATATTAGATGCCTGATTTTCTGTTCCTAGCTATACGGTAAGAATTGTGGGATTAATTTGGAGGCTTAAACATTACTGTATTTGCACCAGAATATGCCTGAACCCCACAAGTGCTGCTGCTAGTAACTCTTGGTTAAACTGTGTGGGAGCTCAGAAGAGCTGCGTTTCAGGAGCGGGCTCAGTGGTGGGCCGGTGCAAGCATGGGATCATGCACCCAGAGGGACACTGGAACTTCTCTCCATAGAATGCATCTTCCCAAAAGAAACAATCAAATTATTACTTGGCAACAGTATTTTTAAAATTTTGTTATTCCCCATCATACCATTATCTTTAATAAGTGCTGTCATTGCTTAGGAGGGAACCAGCCTGTAAAAAGGAGACAAGAATAAAACCTGTGCCTTTCATAACAATGAATGATTTATCAGGGGATTAGAGCTACCTGCTGGTGCGTGATGTCAACCAAGATTAAGGTGAGCTACACAGGTAGCAAATAGTCAGCAAATGAAATTTTACAAAGGAGGTTTAGGGAAACATTAATAGTTTCCAAAACAATGTTTTGAAGACTGCAATAATGCTACCTGTCTCCTCTAGCTGGGGATTGCAGCATTTTTTGAGGAATAACCTGGTAGGGTTAAAGGGGTTGACCTCAGTCTGGAGCCTGTTAAGATAAACTGTGTTTAAACATCAAAATTACAGAAACTTGGTGTCTTGCAATTGCTGTTGCCTCCCATCCTGACACTGCTGCCAGAGAAGGGAAACCATAGCTGCAGTCCCCATGCCTTAAGGACTCTGATGTGTGTCCACACTTCTAATTGGGTCTCAGTACTCAAATACATGCAAAATTCCCAGCAAAAGACATGTGTGTATCCTCAGAGCAAATCAACAAAGGCCTCCTGAGTTGGAACTCAAAATTGGTTTGCACTGAAAATACCGAGCCCGTGCATCTCTGTTTGTACGCAGCACACTGCGACATTCCAGTAGGGCGAGGATTTAACATTTAAATAGCGAGGGGAAGTTTCCCCACAGAAATTAAGAGAGGGGAAAGAAAATACTCCAAATACCAGAGGCCATGGATCAAAACCAACCCTGGTAGTCAGCAAGCCAGAGCGTCAGCTTAACCAGGTTTCTTCTCCTCTTCATTGGTTTAGGTGGCGAAAGCAAAGCCCATGAGTCAGCTTCCTCAAGTACACAGAGAGAGGTTTTTCAAAAATGGGAGCCTGCATTTATGTTTCTAGGAAAATACTTTCAAATTAGTTATTTGATTAAGGGTTACAGGCTTCAACACAAAGATAATAACCTTGTTTCCTAGATCACTTTGGCACTTTTGACAATACTAAAGTATAGTTTTGTTTAGGTGTCTAACCAGTGTGACTCTCAGGCATCAGGAATGTGAGTGGACCCAGAGGCAGCTGCTGGATTTTAAGCCCTTGTGAAGAGCCAACAAGGTCTTTTGTTCCCATCAGTTGATGATTATTCTTCAGATTGATGTTTCCAGGATTTTCTATTTATCTCATTGAAATTAAAAAAAGAAAATATTAAAATGATGAATTTTATTTTTCAAGTATGAAAAAAAGTAACTATTTTGAATTCAATAAGCTTGGTTTAGACATGAACATACTAAAATTTGCACACCTAAGATTTCTTTCAAAAAACTCTTCACTCTGCCTACCATTTTTGCTGGTTTTTAAAGAAATCAGTCCATATTCTTTCTACAATAAAAAACTTAGTATGAAAAGAAGACATGAAAACCAGGTTAAAGTTATAGTTTCCAGTCCAAGCCTAAATACAAAAAACCCACAAAGCTTCTTTAATGTGCACCTATGTGCCTGATTTTCAACTTGACTGAACACCCACAGGGATGGTTTCAGGTGCAAGTACACCTCGGTGCTTTTACACAGAATGACATGCAAATGGTTCCCAAAAATAACCACATGTCCTCAGTACATATCCTCTCCCATGTGACGAAGTACAGTTTAAGGAAAAGGCCAAAGACCAGCAGGTCACTCAGAGTTGTACAGGAGAGACAGAGATTCAACTTTCACATTTTCGAGAAAGCAAACATGTTCTTCTTGGAAAGAAATTCACTTGCTTTACACTCAGCTTCTCTCTCAGTCTAAGCTGCTCCTTGAGCCGCCACACTGAGTAAACTGCCCCATCCATAAGTCATGGATTTATAAGGGAAGTTTACCTGTGGTGTAGTATTTTATGATGCTACTGCAATGCCAAGGAAAATCTGACTGTGATGAACACCGTACAAATCGGAGGCCTGCAACCAGGCCGCAAGACTTCAGGGTTAAACAAAGGCAAGATTTCAGCAGGAGATCTCAGCTCCAGAGCTCTTCCATGGCTGTACGGGGTGTGTAATGATGAACCCATCCCAGCTTTCCTCTGGAAAAGCTACAGTGGTGGTGCAGACACAGCATTGTCTTCAGCCCATCGGCTAATACAAGGCAGCAGCCAGGGGGAATGTCCCAAAGGGGTTGCAAAGAGCAGAGGAGCAGAGCAGGATGAGGGTGTCATCGACAAGCAGCCTCCTGGGCTCAGACATGGCCAGGAGAATGCCAGGGTTAGAAGAAAGCGGCTGATGTTAACACAATCTTTACACCCCATCAGGGGTTTGCAGGGCGTGAAAGCACCCTTGCCACGGTCCACCTTCTCCATCTCCTGCACAGCAGCTGGCAACACCAGGAAGAATATTATCTACCTCTACATCTGGGAGGGCACCGCAGGCTAACAGCCACCACCCACAGCACCTGCAGGTAGGTTTTGGGGTGGCAGGAGGCAATGGACCCGAGGAGGAGGGTGGGAAGGGCCCCTGCCCGCTGTTGGCACTGGAGGAAGCGGTGACAGGCGTGAAGGTGCTGTGGATTTGGGGTGTGTGAGCCTGTGAGCTCCAGCTGCAGCCCAGCCAGTCCCTGTCTCCCTGCCCGTCCCGTGGCACAGTCCTCGTGCTATTCCACACAACAGCTATTAGGACTGAGGGTACCTCAGAGCATTTGAGGCTCCCTTGAAATACGGATTTACCTGTCCTAGGCCAGTATTTAGTACACAAGTCTTGAGTTGTGTGGCAGAAGCTGTGGTAAAGCTCCTGCCGGGGAGGAGAACCTGAGTGATGCTGTCAAATCTGCAGACAAAATGCAGACAAGCACATATTAGGAATCAACAAAATAGGGGCAGAGTGAATTGGGGAGTGCCATCTAACACATGGCTCTTGGTGTGTGGGAATAATCAGACTCACTTGTCATCAAATACACTGAAACGCTTAAATCTGCTCGAGCAAGTAGACAGGAGGTTCCATATCCTTTAATTGTCCTCATCATCATATTCATAATAATCTGGCTCAGAATGATTCCTGCTCTAACGCCACTGCTTCGTAAGAGAGAATTCACCCAGGGTGAATTTGACCCCATATAACTAGAGATGACTCCACAGTGGTTTTGGAATTGTATTTCAAATCATAGCCGCAGGATTCCTTCAATATTGGATATAAATCCTGAGCCAGCAACAATGGTGGCAATGGTCCAGGTGACAGAAGTGGCTGTGGGTGACACAAATCTACATATAAAGTCTCTATTATTGTATATATTAATTTTGTGTTTGTTTTGAGAAGGAAGGAGTTGTCCAACATTTTTATTTAATCTGTATCCAATAGTTTGTGCTTTTTTGGAGTGGCAGGAAGAGAAAAAGAAAAGAAAAAGAAATAGAAAAAAGAAAAAAGGAAATAAGAAAAAAAGAAAAGCAAAGAGAAGCAAAGCAAGAGGAGAGGAGAGGAGAGGAGAGGAGAGGAGAGGAGAGGAAACACCCACTTTTCTATGCATTTTGTCCATTTTTCAGCAATATCTGTTCCTATTTAATCTTTCCTACCGGTGCTGGGATAAAACTCTAAAACATGCTAAATCTGTTAAGGTTGTGCCATCATGCAGTTAGGTAAAAATGCCAATAGAATAGACCACTGTCTGTTATTTGATGGTCATTGAAGAACTGTGACATCAAGCAAACTGAAAAAAATGAAAACATTTATTTCTAAAGAAGGAAATGCTCCTGAAATACTTCATACTCAGCAAAGAGTTTTGGTCAAAGAAAAAAAACATCACTAAAGTTGAAATATTTCTGTTCATATTTAACAGTCTAACTTTTCACGTCGATTAAAGGTTTTGAGACTAAATTTAGCTTAATCAAGTTAGTCAAAAGCTATGTGAAATGTTTAGTTTTGGGTCCATTTAAATATTTTGGTAATTTCTTGCCAGTGGAAATTATTTCCCCTTCTGATTTTCAGTTTGGCCATCTATGAAAAAGCAGAAATTATTTGCATGATCTATTCAAGAGGTCTGAACTCAGCTGCAGGCAGAGGGCTTGGCACTGGGAATATGGCCTTCAGAGACTGTATGGTCCGTTTGCTGGGATTATTTTCTCTTAGATATTCACGTTGCACCACTGATCTCTGTGTTTTCCAGT